GGGGGGCGGGGGGGGGGGGGGGGGTGGGGGGGGGGGGGGGGGGGGCTGGGTACTGGCCTGATTGACTATCAAAGTCTGCAGCTCAAAAAAAACCTCCTCAAATTGCCAATGGCATCGAACTAACCACTACTCATGTACTTTAACAAGATGTAAGAAAGAAAACGGGGGAGTTGAGCATAAAAAGACTCTGTTAAGCATAATCCATACTGTATATTGATTATGAACACAGGCTGTGAGGAAAATAAGTTCCTTTGTCGTGGTCAATAATGTTTTGACTGCAACAATGCTGAGCTTTGTTATAATGAATCGATAGTAAACCGTTTCTGGAGTGTGTTTACAAGCTCGTCCAGACATGGAGGCACACTCACAAACGTGTCCTTTTAAGGGGAGCGAGGGGCAGCGTCTCTTTTACTCATGGGAACATTTTATTCCAGAAGCCACCAAACTTTATCTGATCAAGGCCGGAATAAGCACGTTATGAAGTTGTGGAAAGTACCTGGGCTAAAGTTCACATCAGTGGTGAAATATAACTAAGTACATCTACTCAAGTAGCTAAGTAAGTACACATTTGAGGTACTTGTACTTGAGTATTCCCATTGTTTGCACAACATTTGAGAGGGAAATAGCCATGTTTAAACTCCGCTACATAAATGCATCAGAAATAATAATAAACAAGATGATAGTAGTGTAACATTTTTCTGAGTGTAGTACTCATGTTGATACTCCTAAGTACATTTTGATAATTGTGTACTTTTACTGAGGTGATATTTCCTATTAAGGACTTTTTAATATATATAATGGAGTATTTTTATACTCCAGCACTGACATTTTTACTCGAGTAAAGTATCTAAATACTTTCTCCATCACTCTTTAGGATCAGAGAAAACTTTTGGAGGGCGCACTTCTGCACGCGCAAACATGCGCAGTGACGTCATTGTGCGCATTTCCAACGAGTCGCTGCTGGTTTACACTGAAAGATAACAAACTGATAACTCGAGATGTAGTTTGACTAAAAATTGGAGTCGTTTTAATAGCAGAGTGCATTCATTTAAAAAACACAATTTGCGTGAGAGCTTTATGAAAACGTCGTCATTGTTTAACGTGGCAGCCGCGTCCAACAGGTGGACCGGAGGAAACTTTTAACTCCACTACAAACAACGGCAAAACAATCGCAGCCTGAATGGAATGAGCGCCATTCGGTGACCGCTAGCAGAAACTATTTGGCTAAAGATCAATCATTTCATTTAACAATTGTCGCAGCTCTGCTTTCAATTTACACTTACTTGCTTCTGGATGATATCCTGTCGGAAAGTGTTTATCTTGAGTCTTCTTCCTGCCAACAAACCAATTATAATCCCATTGAAGCAGCGGGGGTCCTGGTCAGAGCAGGCGGAGGTCTCCACACAGCGCGAGGAGGGCACGGTCCTGCACGGGGGGGACTAGGGAATGGGGCTGTAGGCGCCGCGCGCTCCACGGTCATTCCCGAAAGCCAGCGACTGACCCACCCTGCCGGGTTAAAAATAAAGTGGGCGCATACATGATCTGTGCGCGCAGGGGACGCACATTCCTGACAAGAGCCGGTGACTCTAAATGGCAGAGACACTTGTGATCTGTGGTACACCACCCCGGACTCCACTCCACCCCGCCCCGGCCGGGCTCTAATCGCACACAAAACACCCCCCGAGACCCCTCTCAGAAATGTCACCTCCACTGCGTGCCATTCACAGAGAACAGAGGCCTGCGCATGGAAACACGTCCCGGAGAAAGAGCCTCACGTTACAATGTTCATTTACAAACACATGTCAGGTAATGATAGGTACATTTCAGGTGTCAGGTACATTTATTAAAGTGTTTTGAGGTACTTTAGGCTACTTCAATTGTATGCTACTTTATACCTCGATTGCATCTTATAAGGAAATATTTACTTTTTAGTGCATTACATGTAACTGACTGACACTTTTCTGATTAAGATTGTACTTTAAAAGAACATAGGCCTACATTTATAAAATATAAAGCATTGTTTAAATCCTTGTCATGCAGGATTCATGTCTATGAGCTGTTAGTTCCCCCAAAGAGTGCGTTTTTGTGAAATATTGGATAATCCTCTTTGTGCCTTGATCGGATATTCAAATGAAACTATGTGATGGTGCATCAAAGAGAAGAAAAAAGTTACAAAAAGTAACAGGTTGGGTTTACATGCTGACTAATAAAACCAAAATGTTATTTACAAAAGGGGCCCATTGCTTAGGATGAGGGCTGGCTATTGTTTGCGAGTATAGATACCTTTTCCCCCACTTCATAAATATGAAGAACAAAAGTATTAAGAAAGTAAAATAGAGAAAGATAATACAAATCTGAGTAAGCATTTTTTGGTCCTTGTTTTCGATACTATGTATCTTTAGTGCTGATGTACATGTGTCTGAAGAACAGAGGTTCAATACTCAAGCATACTTAGTCTGATTGCAAGTGATTAAATGAAGGAATTTAACATTCTGATATACTGTTGATGCTTAAGGATAATTCTTGGACCAGGCCACACACACAGATGATAAAATGCAAAAACAACAATTCACTTTAAATATGTATTGTATTCATATAAAACAGCCAAACTCACGGGCCACATAACATCTTATTAGCATCAGGAAGCAGGATGTTTATAATAAAAAAATACACTTACAACACATCGTCAAAAACATAAATAACAATGCTTTTTACAAAATGAACACACACAAATATATAGAAACACATCAAAACAAATAGATCAGTACAAAAGCTGGGTATGTTCCTTCACTCCGTGTCTTCAGTATTTGTGTTTCTTTCTCTTTGGTTCCCCCGGGAACATCTTTAGTCACAATCTGATCGCTGCCAAAACAGTCGTGAACCTTCAACTACTGTAAATAATTATGGCTTCATATCGACGGCTGACTGAGCACAGGCCTGCCTTTGATCAGCGTCTGCATAGCTTCAACACTGTACAAACAAAAACAAAATCACTTTTTAATATGCAACATTAATAAAAAGGCATTAACAGTTTTGTGCAAGCGGCCGTAAATGCAGCACCGTGCTCTGCTCATAAAATATAATGAACCCCATCACAACTACAACACACATTCAACAGCATTTCAAACAGAAGGCAAGAGGGACAAAATAAATAGCACATACTTCAAAAACAGGTGAGAACAAAAGGCTTTAAAACTGAGCTTATGCAGATTTGGGGTACCATATTGTGTCTGTGTCTTAGTGCAGATTTAATAATGCATAAAAGGGAGGTTGGGGGTCTGCTACAGAGCATCATCTCTGGATCTTCAGTATCTTGCTCAAGGACACTTCCGCAAGCCAGACGATCTGGCTACTTTGACTTTTTACATCCCAAAAGGTTCTCAACACCACCTCCCTGTTTGTAAAGGGTTTGGGTTTAATTTGTAACAATTGATGTAACTAAGATATACATCGCAAAGAGAGGCTGAAATAAAAATTCAGGACCAAAAAAAGTACAACACCCAAAAGTATTCATACAGTCCCTTACATATATTTACCTTTGAAGTTCATGTTGTCAATGTTTTATGTAACCTTCCGATTATCTGTTGATCGACTCTTTAAATTTGATATAAAAACGTTTTCTAGCTGTGACGTTGACCTGGTTGACTTTGACATATTTGTTTGTTCACTTTACAATACAGTAGAAATCAATAGAGACTATACGGCTAACAGGCATTAAGGGACTTAAATGGCAGATACTCAGTGTATTTTAAACCTATTTCGTCACATTGATGAAGCGATTAGGTGAGGTAGCTTTGTAGCCTTGGATAATTAATTATTAAGCGGTCTAAAGCTAAACGCAGTCCACTAAAGGTGTCGTGGAAAGTCATTCCCTTGGACTTCTAACTCATCTTTGGTACAGTAGGATTGTTACTGTTGAATGCATTCATGTACATCGCAAATATAAAAATACAGTCTCAATATGTTATCAAAAAATACCTTTTTATATATATATAAAAAAAAGCTGCTTCAACTTTGTGACTGGGAAACAATATAACAGTGCTCTTGGAATAAAAAAAAAAGTCAAGTAAATGAATTTCAGGTGCAAATTCAAAAGACAGACTAACTCCGTGCTGGAGACAGTTCAGTCTAAGTGCTCACTGCTAATGCGTCGTCGTGAGTCCTGTGGATCTGGCGAGGAAAACGTCAAGATCAGCGATGACCGCTGCATGTCTTCTGGCAACAGTGTTCAACAGCCGCTGAGGGAAGGACGGCGTTCCTAAGTCCACCTGGAGAAGAACGAAGGGAAATAGCCATGAACTCTTCACATGAGAGCCTGTAAAACGTGTTAAATGTCAGAAATAGTGATACAATATAGGCTGTATTCTTTTTACACACATGCTGCGAAACCTCCACATTCACACATATCCGTCTATCATCAGCCCAAACAGCCTTGCTTTTACTGGCAGGTAAAAGTGTTGCTAGTGTGAACAGCACATATTTCGGATTAGCTTACAGCAACAGCATCTCACCTGTAACAGGTAGACGACCCTGGTAGCTTCCTGTCCGCTACGTCTAATTGGCTGCAGGATCCAGCAACTGGGCATCATCTCCCCCCGGACGGCATCCACACTGGGACGAGGCAGAGCCTCCTCGAACACAGACTGCATTGCCAGCACGCACAAGCCACCCTGAGGCCGAGGGCAAAAGTCATAAATCATCAAGAAAACAGGCAGTGCAGCCTTTTTGATCAGCCGAGAGTGATAACCGAACAGGTTTATTCCACACCCACTGCCTCTGGGTCAGTGTTGTTTACGCTCACTGTTGTTTCAGTGAGCGTGAGTAGTGTCTAAATAGCATGTTCTACATTTTGTGGATGACAAACTGAATGCCACGCTGTTTATCATAAATTGGAGTTCATTAAAAAAAGACAGCACTGTCTGGTCCTGGTTTCCTGCAACACTAATCTTACAGTAAATGGTATTTTCTCCTCCAAAGTGTGATTTTGTGAACAACCATGCTGCAAATGCTCAGTGGACCTTAGACAAGGGCGATAAGCAGTAATCATCCGGACTGGCTGGTTGGTTTTGCAGCTGTGCTCACCTGTTTGGACTCGGTGCTGATGCAGCAGAAGTCCCGCGGCTGGCTGAGGTGGCAGGTGGACGGATCTGTTAGGACATAAACTAGACAGATATACAAAGACAACGTGTCAGATAAGAAGCACAGTTGATGAAAACCTGGAAATAAAAGAAAATATAAAAGAATTACGGCAATCACACTCAATGGTATTGCTAAACGAGGTTAGAAAGCTATTTATTTTTCTACCTCTATTTAAATTCAACGTAATAATATAAACGCATGAGGCCCGATGATGTTGCAAAAGGTTTTAAATGCCACGTACTGCAGGTGTGAGAGTGGAGTAGGTCATGCACTAACACAATGAGCTAGTCAGTGATGAATGGGACTGTGTACTGTACTGTACTAAACATAGCTATTGGATGCAGACTCATCATTTGAAGCAAATACATCTGCAGGATCCATAAACGCCTCGCTTTTGCAGCAATGACAAAAATATAAATACTTTTCTCTATTTATATTCTTGCAACACTACAAATGATATTTGCAAAGGTAAACTCTTCCATCACATGAAGCTCACTTTGCAAATAACTAGAATTTATCAGCATTTTATAAACTGCTACTTTCCTGTTTCAGGTCTACTAAAGTCAACATTATTAGCAGTAGCATCATCTCGCATTAGCGCAACCGCGTACTAACATGGTGGAGAAAGTATTCAGATCCTTTAACTAAGTCAGTAGTATTAGCACAATGTAAAAAATACTGTTTCAGCATTATGTTCTATAAAATGGTTACGTGTTTTAATGTAAAATCAAAATTCATAAAGTAAGTAGTAACTATATTTGTCAATTGAATTGTAGTAGAGTAGAAGTGGCATGAAATAGAAATACTTAAGTCTGCACTTCGGTATAGCTCTGGACTTTGTTGCTTTCCACCACTGGTACTGTGGTGTAAAGAAAGCGTGTGAGGAGGAAGCGGACATGTTCGCTCACCCAGCTGAGTGCTGTCATCTAGTGGTCGTGTCCAGACAGAACGGACTGACTGATTATACGTGTGAGTCTTGGACAGCTGGCAGATTGTGGTCCACAGACTGTCCAGAGGTCTGTCCAGCTCCACAGCTCCAAGAAAACCATGGACAGACGGGCTGGAGGAGGGCTTGTAGTAAACCTGGACACCTTGTTCCTCTCCCTGGTACCTAAATATACACAGAATTAACACATTAGCAAATGAATATTTGTGATTTTGCAGCTCACTAATCTTAGACAGTGACGAAGTCCTTATCTTGAGGGTAGATGATTTTTTTGGATGAGTGTATTAAAAAGTGAGCTCACCTCCAGCCTGCTGTGGCCTTGCTCATGAGCAGGTTGCTCAAATCCCCAGAGGAAGCCAGTCGCACCTGTGGAGGAAGACATTTGCAATTCAACCGGATACAAACGTTTGAAGGAGAGAAAAACAGGGACAATCGTAATGTTAAGTCAATGGCATTGACTGAACTGGGTGTTTTTACTAAAATGCATTTTAGTTATATTTTGTATTCAGGTTTTCTGTATATGAGCTCTAGACTCAGGTCTGAGTTACCTCAGCCAGAGCTCGACCAAGGAGACCAGATGTGATGTCCTGATAGGTTGTGGATATGGAAGAGGAGGAGCCAAAGGAGGCGGTGCGTTGACGTGCACTAGTTGATGGAGATGAAGTCATCAGTGGCTCAAACATGGCGACAGAAGGCTCAAGGCGGACATCTAGCGAAACACATAGATGTTAAGATGGAATTTCAACACAGAGAATGTAGAAGGGGGGGGGGGGGTTAAGTGCCGCACCAGTGACAGACATGGGGGAAAACTATTTTGGAAACATACCTTATTTACATTTAACATTTTTTAATATGTCAATGTTCTATAATCTACACAATGGAATAAATGACAGCAGAACTGCAGATGAAGATGGACATTTTTCAACAAAGATGGACTCCAGTTATTGACTTGACTGTTTAAATGTGAGGATGTGAACTGATGAAAGAAACGCCCTCTGTCGAGGACTGTTTAACACTGTTTGATGTCACTGAAACTGATATTTTAATGAAATTCTTTGTATTTGAAGGTGTTCTTATTCTAAAAATGTAGCATACTTTTGAAGATTGTTTTATGAACCACAGTCCAGTCCTCACCATGGGCAGACAGCCAGGCTCTCTGTGACTTCACACTTTGAGGACGACATATAGGAGGACGTGTCCTGAGCTTCAGCCCGTCCTCCTGGAACCCTGGGATCTGAAGGGAAACAACGACACAATTACCCGCTGAGTTGCTTCAAAAGAAACATTAGAAAAAATACATGAAGATGAGATTTTGCAGTATAAAAATAATCCTAAATATGTATATATACATTGCTGGATTTTCATTTCAGTTATTCAAATCTATTGACCTGTGCAGTCAGAAGTGGTCTGTTGCCGTGCTGTAGCGTGTTTCCGCTGTTGTACCCCGATGTTGGTCCAGAGGACAGACTCAGGCTGGATCCTGTGCATAAGGTGCTGTTACTGATTCTTGTCCGATGTCTCAGGTCATCCTGAGCAGGGGCAAGGGAGATACCAGTGAAATTATACAGTGGTGTCATAAATAAAACCCAGAGAGTCTCTAACAATTCACTTCTCCTATCTTGTAATATATTCAATGTATTAGCAAATGAGGTGTTCTTATTTAATCAGAGGAAAACACAAGATATTTACATATTATATTCTGTGATTGATGAAACAATTGATGCAACAATGAATGAGATTTATTAAGAAATAATCGACATATTGAGAAACAGCTTTTATCTTGTGATACAACAACTGACCGTGACTTCCTGAGACAGGGCCTGCTGCTGAAGCCTCTTTTTCTCCTGCTCTGTCCTTTCTCGCAGTCGCTCTCGTGCCTTTGCAATCTCTGTCCGGGCCTCCTCTCGGGCTCGGCCGTAGTCGCGCAACAGCTGCTCGATGTCAGACGGACAGTGGCCCTCTCCTCGTGGGGGGTCTGGTATTCTGTCATTTAGTGAGAACTCAGTCACGTTTTCCAACACTAAGCCTGAAGACATTAATATTTCAAATGTAGGGCTGATAGGGGTATAGAGTCTTACCTGGTGCTATCTATCACCTCTTGGCGGAGCTGTTGTTGGTACTCTTTACGCCGACTGGGCATGGCAGCAGACACCTTGGAGGAGGAAACAGCCTCTTGTGGAGATGAGCGAGGATGTTGGCTGGGACTCAGACTCCGAGCTCTCCGGTAAGTCTGGAGACGTTCCTCCCTCTCCTGCCTCAAACCCTCAATACTCCTGCGGTGTCTGAGAGGAGAGATTCAAAGAAACAATAAATACAAAAACACAAATAAGGCCAATCATTTAGGGAGTTCAGGTCATGTTTTAGGGCTGAGCAGGGACCTCAATACTTGTTCACTGTGATCAGATATTTCTTGCTCTAAATTAGGAAACTTTGCCTAAAAAACAGTCTAAAATTGGCAATGTTCTTGTATAGCTGCTTGTGTTGAAACAATATTAGACACTGATGCACTTAGACATTAAGCCCACTTTGCATCATATCAAAATAAAGAGTGTTTGGGTCATTTGTGTCCTCACCTATCATACAGCTGCTGTTTTGTGGACACAGAGGTCGGTGGCTCCAGCTCGTCTCCGGTCCTCGGGGACAGCATCTTTAACAGGGTATCCGTCTCTCCGAGGCCGTAGTGTAGCTTGGCCTCCGTCAGCTCCACAGTCAGATTTGTCGGGTTCATGTTGAGGCTGACCGTTGCCATCACCTGCTCTCTCTCCCGTCGCAGCCTCTCTATCTCTCTGGCCCTTCTGTCGCTCTGCGCCGTGGACTCCACGCTGGAGTCCATCTCGCCCCACTCGGCGCGGCTTCTGCTTCCGCCGTCGTCTTTGGCAGGAAATGTGCCCGGCTTGTTGGAGTGTTTGGACTGCTGAAGGTTGATGCCCGACCAGTTGGTGAACTTGTTGTGCATGGGCAGGTCCTCTGGGGCTATTTGGTGGCGTTGAGACGGGGACGCGCTGGTGACGGGTTCCATGTTCACGAGGACATCGGTGTTGCACTCGCTGGGCGCCAGGGACACCGTGTCGTCCTCTTGGAGTTGAACATTCCTGTTGCTGACCGGGGACGGATTGTATGAATCAACGCAAAAATCGACAGCATCTACTGCAGGTCTCGAGTAGGTTAGTGTAGCTTTAGCCTGCCGTTTGTGCACAGCAGCTGGTCTTAATATGGGAGAGATGTGGTTCTGCAACGTTAAACCATTTGTTGAAGTAGAAGTCCTCCACTGCTGAGAGGAACTCTGCCATTTGGAGTCGATAACATTTCTCCTGTCAGTGTCTGTATTTCTATCCAGTGATGCACTGACGCTTATAGAGCCTTTAGGGCTTGAGCAACTCATTTCACTCACCTTCTCAAGGGATACAGATTCTGATGCACAAGAGGAAACGTCAGAACTGTGTCTAGGCATCTGCTCCTCCTCTGAAACAGTTGTGCAAGCGGATTGTTTGCTAGACGACACAGTCAGGTTGTCTTTCTCAGAGTTAAGGTGTTTATTTAGTGTTGATTGGTCCCCTCTCAGCTTCATACATAAACTTGTTCTGACAGTACGAATGGGAGATGACGCACGGTCTGTGTATGTGGCGTGTTTCTTTAAAGAAAGTGTTGGGTCATTCTTTAAAGAGGGACTGTGATTTTCTTCATGGCTGTTTTTCGACGACCTGCGGGAGACTTCAGATATTGGAACACTTTTGTGACACAGTGCCTCGGGCGTGCTTTGCTTTGAGCCTCTAGAAGAAGCAGATCTTACACGTCTTCGACATTCGCCCGCCGTCTTCAAAGGAGGCGTTTTATTCTCCGATTGAGAGGCGGGCCTTTGTGCTGCAGCAGAGGTGTTAAAGCTCCGGTCAGGCATGCTCTGCATCTTTTCATCTGTACTCCTTACCACACAGTGCACATTCTTGTCTTGGGACCCAGCGACGACCTCAGAGCCGATGACTTTGACAATCACATTGACCTCGTGAGATTTGGACCTTTCGCTGGGTGTTTGATGAGCAGCGACTTCCTTCGCGGCTGGTGTTGAAGACCTCTCCGTCTGGATCCCGACATCGACGGTGGTTTGAGTAGAGCAATCTCTCTGTGTGCAGTCATTAGACTCACTGTAACAGACGCTGATATTTGACATGTTGACACTCCTCCTCGGACTGGACTTGAGGGCTTCGCCCGTTCTCATTCCCTGGACGTCTCCCAGCAGGTCGGAGGTGCTGTCAATCAGCTTTGAGATGTGAGCCGACATGCTTTCCATACTCGCCCACGCTTGAGATTCTTTTATTCCCACTTTGGTTGTCCGTGTTGCAGGTACATCGGTGTTACTCCTTTTGTGCCGCTCTCTCCTCTTTGGAGCACTACTGCTGTTGCCGATATCTACCGTCTGAAGGCCATGCTCGGTTTGAGTGCCATACTCGCATGTCCTCCTCCTTTGGGCAGGTACTTTGCTTCCCTGGGACTCTTGCTCAGGCGAGTACACAAGCATCATTTCATCCATCTGACTGGAGTTGTGCCCATCGTTACTTGAAGAGCTGCCGGTCACTGTCAGATTTGCTAAATGACTGTGAATACCAGCAGATGCTTGTTGACAGGGCGTGAGCGGAGATGATTTGCTCCCTTGTTCCTTATAATCCTCCATACTGCTTAGCGTGCTGGAGAGCCCCTTGTTGGTGGCGTAAGTGCTCAGATGGGAATAGAAAGGCGAGTTCTGCCCGTTCAAACCATTGTCAACACTGCAGCATCTCGTTATGCGTTTCTCAGCGCTGTTCAAAAGTGGAGATTTACAGGATAGGTCAGCAGCACTTCCGAATGCAGGGTTCTTATAGCAGTGGTGGTTTGAGTCATCGTCCTGCCACTGGTGAACGAAAGGGTTGATGTCGCTGGAGGCAAAATGCATCGGGGAGTCCTGTTGTGATTCACTTTTCTTTGCATAAGGGAGGACTAGTTCTACATTTGTCCTTTGTGACACAACTTGTAAAGAGAGTCTTTTTTGGGTGTAATCTCTACTGGCGTTAACTTCGCTTTTACACTGAGCTCCAGCAGAGCAAAACTTCATCTTAGATCGGCTCACTGACACTGTCGTAGACATATCTGCATCTTTACTTCTAACCTGTCGGACTTCTTGTTCGCCAAGCTTTACCCATTTAGACGAGAGCCGGCTGTGATGCACTCTGGTGGTTTTGTCCTCCTCCTCATCCTCATCCGACGACTTATGAGAGGACTCAGTGGAAGACATGGGATGAGTCTGGATCTTAGTCTTTCTCAACCTCTTTGACTTGGCCTTTTTAGACGTAAGAGCAGATCGGTTCTGTCCGTCAGCAGGTGTGTTAAGCTGAACCTCTTTTGACATCACAGATACATAGCAACCTGTATGTTTGACGGCATTCCCCTGATGTAATGTGCACTGCGGCTGCATAGAACCAGAAATACTTGCTTCATGTTTTGACTCTGCGAAGACCTTTGGAGTGTCTTTGTCCTTTTTCATAATACAATCTTTTTGGCTGTCAACTTGAGTATCCGTAACAAATTTGCACACTGAATTTGAAACATATTGGCATTTGTTGTGGGCATTAATATTGATGACACACGACTGAGTCAAGGTATTTGAATGAGTCTGTGAACAACTGAACTCACCCTGTGCTGTGGCACAAGGTTTACCTCCTCTTGTGTTGTCCGTTTCACCGTTTCCATCCCGGCCAGGAGAAACAGCGAAACCTTTCGTAGAGGCGCTCTCATCAGCGGGTGTGTTCTGGCTGCTGTGACGTCCGTGCGGTTTGAATTGAAGTGTTGACGTGGCTTCCATACAGACATCCTTTTCGTGACTACAGCCACAGGTTTCTTTTGCGTCACCCATGGTGGAAGGTGTTTCCCGGGGAATTAGGTGACGTTCAGAGCTCTGTGTGTCCACTTCATTCAAGCATGTATTGTTGATGACAGGATTGAGATGGGATGTTACTTGTTGTTTACCTGAATCATTGATTTCTTGACACAAAGCATCTTTCTCCACAGTGTTTCCTTCAGAATCAGTGGAGGAGCCACTAATTGAGGACAAGCTAACCGGTTGCAGAGTGGGGTTGCCAGTGGAGTGCTCAGACTCTCTCTGGCTGCTCAGCGTCACATTTGATTGGATGTTGTCATTTTTGGCAGAGGACATTTGGAAAGCACAATGATGGATTACTGGCTTGTTTGATGTCACATCTGAGAAGCTATGCACATGGTCAATCTTCTGTGTTACTTCAGTAGATTTAAGCATGTTGCTCTCCTGGCTAGTGCTTAATTCAGCTGGCAGCTCTGATGCCAGGTGTTCCCTGTTGTCCACTGTTGTCTTCGTCCTTTCAAGTGCAAGGTGTCCTTCAAGGATTGCTCCTTTTTTCACCTGATCACTCATTTTATCTCTGCGCTCTTTTTCTTTCCATTCATTTTCATCACTCTTACAGCCAAAATGACACGCAGAAGACGACAAGACATACATGCTTTGACTCCTGCTCTTCCTGTCATCTTCGCTGACAATCAATGACAGTCTCATGTGCTCTTTGACCACTTCGGAGATTCTCAGGTCAATGGCGCTACAAATAGCATCTGACTTGCATATGTGTTGTCTACTTTCTTCATGTTTTCTGTGTTTATCAAATTGTGATTCCCACCCTTTTGTTTCTGCAGCTACTTCCTTTATTGCTACATCTCCCTTTTCAGCTACTTTCCTCTCTCCTGCAGAGGATCCACTCCGAGGAACATCGTCACCGCATTCAGAGTGCTCAAAGATCTGTCCAAGTTTCCTTCTCGTGGGATCAGAAACTGGCGACGCCTCTGAAGCCACTGTGTCTAGTCTAATGCTGCCATCAACACAAACAGAATCAAATCCGGAGCTGTTATCTTCCACGGCTGATTGCTCCCCGTTTGAGTCACTGCTGTTATTATTGTCATCGGGCCAAATGTCTTCCTGATTGTCAACTGGTGCGGAGCAGAAAGTTACCAACTCACTGCCGCTGCTCCTTTTTGGAATTTTCAAGCTTCCCACGAAAGCCTCCTGCTGGTCTTTGTTCCTCTTCCTGGAATGTTTACAGGATGATTTAACAAGCTCCTGCTGTAGTGCAATGTGCTGCTCAGTCAGAGCTCCTTTGGTCTCAGCCTCATCCAAAATTTTGTCCCGTGTAGAAGATAAATGTTCGGCGTTCCCAAGCTCACATTGGTTAATATTTGTAAACTTTTCCGTTGCAGCATCTAGACTGCATAGTACTTCATCTTCAGTGGACGATTGGAGGACACTTACAGGGTCAGACATCTTTTTTAATACTTGACCTTGGCTAGTGTTAGAGAGATGCATTACTGATTGATAACCTGACGTCCATATTTCAGTGTCAGAGGACATTGTAGTGTCAGCGGTCACCATGTCAGGTACATCTGTTAACACCTGAAGCAGTTTTGGTTGTGATGCTTGTTGTTTAGTGTAGTGGATCTCAGTGGGTGACACACAAGCGGCTTGAGGTTCTACGGTCAGTAAGAGTGCTGGACTTTTGATGCTGCAGTCTGGAGTATCCATAACTGCGGTCCCTGTATCTTCTGCTTGCTCCACACAACATCCTGCTTGCTTCAGGGCTTCCTCTGGTGTTGTTAGAATCTGAGAATCGAATGTTTCTGATGTGCCCGTTAAAATGTCACAACCGTGTTCCTGCACAGTTACATTTACACCCTCAGTGCTGGTGGAGGTTGAGCCAGGTCCACTCTGACAGTCTGAGAGGTTCATACTGTTTGGACTGGGACTGCTGCTGCTCTCTACACCTCTCAACATTATTTTTCTTTGGAAAGGCAGAGAATCCCTGTGAATCCTGGGACTGTCTGCTGCGTCAGTGGAGGACCAGGCATCGGTGAGTGCCAGCATGTTGTCTGGCTCCCGCACACTGCAGCTGCTCAGGGAGCGTGGGCTTACGGTCGAAGTGGTCTGCATGTTCCCAAAGTCCTCAATCAATTTGTGTACAGTGTCGCTGCCTCTGGAATCTGCTACTAATGACTTGTGGGAAGGAGGCTTCATTGTGGCACCACTGTGTCTCGATTTTGGCGAACCTTGCTGGCTCCAGTACGCCTCTGCTGGGATTACCTGAGGTTTCCGACTGCTGTCCCAGTCTAAACTGTCCTCTGCTGATCTATTGTGCCGCATGGATGAATGGGAGCATTCTGTCACCAATGAGTAAGCTGGCGCCACTGTTTGGCTAAGTTCCTCCACTGCCGAGTAATTCCCATTGCTCTCCACAGCCAAGGAATCGTTAGACATCTGACTGTCTTCGCTCTCTGCTTCACTCTGAGCTGCTTCCTCACACCTCAGCTGCTCTGCGAGGGCCGTCACATAAGCAGAGGACAGCGAGTCGAGAGAGAGAAGGCTCTCACCGTCTGATGTTACTTCATCTCTGTCCTCTTGCTCTTCCTCCCATCCCATCAATCCCTGCTGTCTCTCGACCCATCTGCTGGTCTTGCTCATCAGAGCCTCGGTACCATGCCAGCGCTTCTGTTTAACGTCCTCAAACACGCTCCTTTGGTCAAGCTCCTCACATGAGACCGCTGCTTTGACAACACATTTGCTTCGGCTCATCTTGGTATCTTTAAGGCTCCAGTCTCTTCTTTGTCTCCAGTGACATTTGCTTGCTATCCTCCCCAGAGGTTTGGGGTTTCGTCCTCCATTCACACTTGATGGTGGTTTCCTGAACACTTTGGACAGAGCCGTTTTCAACCTGGGCCCAACAGAACAAGAGAAAGTCTTCTTAATGGTTTCCAGTTCATTGTTACCTGCATGGGCTTGATTTATCTCATTCATGCAAGGGACAATCTCAGAACTAGTTTTGCAAGTTGTGGCTCCTTGTATATTCTCTTTATAGACTGGCTGCAAAGTAGTTCCAACTGGTGACTTCAGAGTAACCCCTGAGTTCTGATCCGATCGGTTCTTAAAAGACAGTTCTCGGTTCGGCAGCAGAGGTTTTCTTTCTGGTCGTTCCCGGAAGGGCTGAGCTTGGGGCTCCTCTTTGGCAGTTGGTCTGAGGTTTTCAGAGGAGTTTACTCTTCTCCGGCTGGCTTGACTTTGTCCTGAGAAGAGCGAACCGGAACAACTCTGTGCTCTTTCCCGAGGAAGACACTCATCTGAAACCCACTTCCTGCTGCCAATGGAATCAGAGGTTGTGAAGGAATTTGACGTCCGTTCTGTGGATCCGTTTCTCTTGAGGAAGTGTCTGTCGTAGAGAGAGAAAGAAAAAGACTACTTTAACATCTGTATATATAGAAGGTGCAACCAAACAGCTGAAACATTTTGGTATTAGTATAGGACTAGCCCCTGAAGTTTGCTTCCTGCCCCGTTAACTCTACAGGTTAAATGACTCTATGTGCTTACCTGAAGATGGGGGTGTTCTGTGGGTAGAGCCGGGACAGAAGATCTACCGAGAATGAGTGCCTACGAGAAACGAATGATCTTCCTCTGAGCTTTGTGGGGGAGCCCAGATCAGGAGACTCTGGGCTCTCTGGTCCCGGAGGCAGGGCCCTTTCCAGCCGCTGCAATTCCCTCTTAGCTTCCAACAGATGCTGCTTGCGGGCGATTCTCTCCAGCTGGTAGTGCAACTTTTTCCGACGGATGCGGCTCTCGGAGCGGCAAAGGGCGTGATGCTTTAGTAGCTCCTCCTGCACCACCTTCTTCCTGGCCCGTATCACCTGGGATGGTTGATCCACTGTCTCACCTTCAGGATCCTCACACGCATGACTTGCCTCTCGCTCCAGGAGGGTTGAAAGGATGAGATCTGTCTGAACTCCAGACTCTTGGGTGATTCTCAGCTCTGCGGTGGTTAGGCGATGTTTCTCCTGCATAATCCACTGCTGGACTGTTGGGTTAAGATTTACAGAAGGGAATAATTAGGTGTGGATATCTTACAAATTCAAAGCTATCTAGAATTTTGGTTTGGATTTTGAAAGTTGACAGTTGAGCAATGACATTTGTTGTGTAGGTGGAAAGACGACTTACTCTCACGGTGCTGCTGTCGGAGGTGGGCCTGCTCCCTCTCCAGCTCTCTCTCAGCCCTCCTTTGTTCCGGCTGAATCTCCTGTCGCAAACTCTCCACGAAGCGCTGCTGCTCCTCCATGCGCTGCCTCGCAGAGGGCTCCTCGCTGGGGGAGAGACAGGCACCCAGCTGGCCTTGGAGCTTCACTTCTTCGACACTATGAAACAGACCCATAGATACAGGGTAAAATACAAAGTGAGCAAACCAGAAAGTAAAAATAAATCATTTTTACCTCACCTAGGTACAATTTCATGTCTAGAATTTAGCAGTGAGGTGGTGGCAGGTTTGAAGTAAATGCAACTGTTGTTAGTTTTCAGTTCAGCGTCTCAGCAGTAACCAAGCAACGGCTGAGCCTGTCCTGTAAACAGCTAACTGGGATTGTTCAGGAGGGTGGGGGCTACTGGAAACACATGCCATGTGCAACCACTGAACCGTAAGATGCATGAAGCATTGGCCTATTTCTGCTGCATGAATATGACACAACGCATGTACGAATCAAATATGTATGCTGCATGTTGGCAGAATGAGCTGTCTGTGCAGAACACACAGTATACACAGAGGGATGAATATATAGGGCTGGGTGATAAATCCATCAAACGATATCAAGTTTACCTGTGGTTGTAGGTGCAGGTCATGTCACCATCGCTGGCCTGAGAACATTTAAGAGAAGACCAACTTTAATATTTACCAGCAATAAACAATCACAACTATGCTCACAACAAATATATTGTAGAAAATAATCTGAAACAATATTGTGTATCACTAGCTTCACAGTATGTCAATTACAGCATCTCATTTATCTGCTCATCATCAATATTATCACCGCTGCCATCACAACCAACGGCCTCGTTTTCATTTCCAGCTGAGCGGCACCCACCCGTCTGCGTTCCCGGAGGACAGCTGCCTCGGCTGGGTGGTTGAAGCGGAACTTGTGCACTCCTCCCAAGGTGATCACCGTCCCTGGAGACAAGAGAGACGTCTCCTTCATCACAAGCTGTCCTCATCCTGCAGCAGTGTGTTGTGGGTGTATGCGGTGCAGTGTGGGGCAGGGTGTGTATGAGTGTGTGTCTATACGTTTACCCTTAGGAAGAACCTTTAAGAGTATGTGCATATATAATTGTCAATAATTAAATCTTATCTGTTCATTGTGTATATATATATTTAATGCTCAGTGTCAAGTGCTGCTCAAGTCTGATTTTATGCATGATGTCTATTCTGCTACATCAGCAATGCTAAAAAGATGATATTGTGATATGATGCTCTTCTATTTACTAGTCTTTACAACTCAAATTGCTTACAGTATAAGATTTGATACTTTTTTTCTGCCATTTATTCTACTATACGCAATAAATTCATTTACAGTCATTTGACTCTCTAAGTGGTAGTTTGCAATGTCAGCAGCAGAGTCCGCCATTACCGTGCAGTCACCATTAATTTGTCATTTTGAAATTAATTTAGATGTTCTCAGTGTCTTAATACTACAATAACAAGTAATAATAAACAACTGGTGTCGCCAAATCAATCATAATTGAAATATTACGGATCATTACTTTCTCTTTCTAAGCTTTTAAAGGCATGAAGGGGACAACAGTTGCAGATAAGTGTTAACAGTCAAACAAAAGTTATATTCAAGTTTCATGCCTGCATATCCGCAACACTCAGATCACATATTTAAAACATGCAACAACTTTTCTTTTTGTTGCCGTTCTCTTTGACTACAAAATGCAGTGTGAGCAAACTGTTTAGTTGAGGACAGGAGCAGACCTTGAGCCAGTCTGCAGGGCTCGGTGACTTCTCGGTCGTTTAGCAGGCAGACGCAGCCCGGCAGCGGTCTCAGCGTTACCACACCTCCGTGGTTTTCAATCTCACAGCTGGCACTGCCCCGCAGAACTAGGAAGAGAATGCAGAAGAAACACAATCACACATACCGAGTTAGAAAGCTCAGTGCAGCTACTGTACTTCAAAATATATTCAGCACTCAGTGCAGCATTTAATTAAAAGTCAACAGTCCGTTTTATGATGTACAGTAAAATGTTGTATTATGCATTCTTGCATATATTCTGCAGTGTTTTATACTGTGTGTTTTGTCTAAAGCTGGCAGTTTGCTGCATATCTACGCTGGGATAATGCATGGTCGTAAGATGCTTTATCGTAATTTATTGTAAGAATTTCCACTCTTGTAATGTACAGTCAAGACAAAATGTTATGCAGTTTTAAAAGGAATATTTGCAGCTGGATGAGGAAACATGGAGACCAATGAATAAACAATACCTATTTGTGGTTTTTCAAACTGTTCCTGAGGTCCTATGTGGGTAACTCCTTCCTGTTAGAAAAAGGCATTGTGTAAACATGGCAGCTATATATTTAAAATCTACATAAACAAAAACATCAAAACAACTTTTATGCATTCTGGATATTAGCTGGTTGTGCTCAAAACACAAGCAATAGTGGATATAATGACAATAATTTTACACAATGATCTTAAGGGAACTATTGTCCTTTCACTTCTAATCTCCCACTTATCATTTGTTTACTTTGAAGTCTTATCTAACGGGATTAAAGGCTTTCTTATATGGTGTCAGGACCACATGCGTTCCCAGGTGGCCTCGGCTCTTCACATGCAGGAAACGGTGTAATTGTCAGGCCTAAGGGTATGCTTGTCATTGTCAGAATCAGGACAGCTTAAGCTCCCCCGAGTCCTAGCCTCAGAACTAAGAGCCTCTTATCCAACCGAGCTTCATGCATTGCGGAAGACACATACACGCAGAGATGGGAGATCGACAGGACAGTTGGAGGGCAGAGAGAAGAGAAGAGACAGTAGAAACGCACCTTTTCTCAAGAGTTTTTCTAGCAGAACAAAGAGAAATAGTGGGAGGAGGAGGAGGAGGAAGAATCTAGTAGAAAAAACAGAAATTGGTTTAGTCAAGACAGCTGACAAATCAGTAACTCAAGAGTTGGAGAAAAGTAGAGCAAATGCAAAGAATATCAGTTCGTGGGAGTTTCCATCATGTTGTTGAAATGAGTGATGTATCGCTGGGGATGAAGAGAAATGTACAAAGAACGAGACAGAGTGAAACAACAAACTTAACACCATCCAATACAACAAACATGCACAACACTATCTTAATATGGAGTGCTACACTTATTATAGGAATTTCAATACTTAACAAATGTGTATTCCAATATTTACACTAAAAAAAGCACCGCACAAGATTCATAAAGAACAGACTTCATGAAGATGGACAATTAAATAATAATTGAATACAACAAAACATTCCTCTTTATGGACACAACAGTTCTATTTCATCGTCATACCCTGAGGTGATAGAAGACGACACCGGTGCTGAGAACGTCTCCATCGAGCGTGACCAGGTGTGGCTGGAGGGAGTTGATGAGGAATCCGGCCCGGTCTCGGTTGATGTCCACACTGTACTGCTCCAGCAGCTCCTTCTTGTCTCTCCAGCTCTCCGACCAGTCCTTCGTCAGCTGCTCCACCTGAGGAGGAGACACGGATGAAGACTATGAAGGAAGGGAATTAAGAGAGGGGGTCGACACCAGGGGGGTAAATATCTGTGGTCAGGGAGATAATAATAATTATTACTACTGCTGCTGCTGCTACTACTTAAAAACAAGAACATTATTTACAAAATGTAACTGTGTTACAAGGTATGATTGTACAGTTTAAACCCAAATGTTTCCCTTACATTTCCCAACAAGTCTGAAGAAAAATACAGCGTGACAACTTGTCACAGATATTATTATTATTATTATTATTATTATTATTATTATTTCTACACACAGGTTTTGTGATATCCACTGCTGAGACATCTGCTGCCATCCCAGCACAACAGAGGTGAGTGGAATCTTGTTTATGGAGTTTATGGAGACGTTTATGGAGCTCAATCCATTGAAAAATTACATTTGAAAATAGGATTTTTTTTTTAAAGAAACAATGTCCTAGTTACTTAGGATAATCCACAGACCTCACTGAGAAGATATATTTTCTAATAAGAAAGACCCTCATCAAGTCAGAAGAAGTCGACAAAATAGAAGGCAACAATCTCAACGTCTAGAGGGAAACAGCTATTTAGATACAGCAAGGGGAAACTGTTTAATGTAACTTGTGTGAACTGATCTTTTAAGTCTAGATCATGCACATTTACAAATAAATCTACATGACTTATTTCTATCTTTTCTAAAACCTTTTCGCCTGACAGAGAGTAGTCGCTGCAGGGTGAGACTTTATGCGGGGCGCAAGTTTCTCAGCCTGCTGAATAATGTTGCCCTGTATTTCTTTATAGTGTCAAACGGATGATCCGTGATGTGTGAAGGACCACTGTCTCTGTGAGGCAGATGTAACAATGTGTGCGTGTGTGTGTCTACCCTGTGTTACCTTTAGTTCGTTCTGTAGCACGATGTCAGAAAGATTTCCATCCCTCTCATCGCTCAGGGAGGGGCTGAGATTACGCTGCTGTCAATGGAGAGGGTGAAAAATGATCAGTGAAAATACTGTGCAAAAGAAAAATGTCACATGCGTTACAATGCAATCATTCAATCTTTACCATCCAGGGGATTAAAAACGTCACAAAGACACAAAGCACTCTATTAAGCCTTTGCTACAAAAACTTGTAATGTGGGGATCTCTTTTATTCAAAGCCTTACAGCACTAAGAGGGATTTTTTTGGAGGAGCTGGGACGACACCGTAGGGAGTACCCCAAGGAGAGTTAGCGCTATACTCTAATGATAAAAGGCTCCCATACCATTTCAAAGCTGAGCAGCATGCTCTTCAGCCTGTCAATCTCCTCTCTCAGTTCCCGGATCAGCCGAACACTGGCATCCTGCACACAAAGCAAAGCTCACACCAACCTGCTAAAAACATTTAGATCAAACATTAAAGTCTTGGCATGGGACTCCAAACAGCCACTGACCTCATTAACCCGAGGCGTGTTGACAATATTTTTGGCATGGGCGGCGTAGCGCAGGGTGCTGAGGGTCTCGTTGTAACTGTTAGCGGAGGGCGAGACCGCTGCAACACAAACACACACAAAAAACACACAAGTAAAGACACACAAACACAGAAATTAGCACTCACATCACGGAAAATTCGTTTCATGAGAGAGACTTAAAGGACCTTTCCAGTGGTTTTACCAGGGTGGTCACATTACTGCAAACTATTTTCCAAAGCATAACCATCAATTTTTAGATTTAATTTCCAACCTCCCTGCCAGCTATTAGATTACATACAAAACCATAGAAAAGGACCCTGAAGACATTTATCTTTGTCACCGTTACTTTATTTTGTTTTGCAGCAGCTACAATAAGTTTCATGTAAATCTTTAATGTTAGTGAGTTCAAGTGCTAAAAATACACTAAAAGGAGAATTAAGAGTTGGTCGGCATTAAAAATTAAAAAGTAATTTTCATTTTTCACGAACAATTATTCCTTTTATTTTCCATGTTTGCCTTTAGGGTTTGATATTGATATTAAAAACAGCTTATGATTGCAAACCATTCAACTCTAAACTTTCAGTTAAAGCTTTTACATATAAACACATGCAATTTATAGTTAATGAACCAAAACGTGCAAACTCCCTTCCATGGTCCTTTTCACAATACTGACATCTATTCCACTTACTTGCGATCATGATGGTCTTAGAGTTGCCGCCCAGGCTGTCTTTCAGCAGCCAGGTTAGGACTGAGTCTCTGTAGGGGATGAAGCAGTGCCTCCTCCCTCCTCCTCCTCCTCCTCCTCCTCCTCCTCCTCCAGACAGGGAGCTGCTGTGGCTTCCCACCGTGCTGCCATCCCCCTCAGAGGCCATGCTGTTGATACTCTGACAGCTGCTGGACATCTGGGAGTTCTGGGCTGTGGAGGCATTGGGAAGAAGAAGTACAATGGTTGAGGGATCGATGAAGAGTGTTACAGAAGAGAAGGGAACACTGCGAGCATCAAGGAAATGGTAAACAGGAATTTATGGAGATCCATGCTAGATTTAAATCCTACTGTCTCCGTTTACCAAGAGCAGATATGACGATGCCCAAAGTGACGAGCGACTTGTTGATGTTGGAGCCCTCTGTCAGTCTATCCCTGCAGTAGTGGGGGTCCGCTCGCTCACTGTCAGACACATCATGAAAACAACATGTCAGTCGCAATGATTAAAAACACAGATTATACAATAAAAAAAAGTGTGGAATCGAACATTTTTAAAATCTCAGGGCAGTAGCCAAAGCCCACTAGGGGGCAGTTTAGTCAATGACTTTGACTCAAAAGAACACACACAACAGAAGGAAATAACAGTTTCACCTCCCAGCCAAGTCCACCAGGTTAATCTTGCTGACAGTTTCTGAAGGAAGGTTATTTTCTAGGATTGCCTTTGGAGAAAAGACAAGAGTAATCAGACGGGAATCTGCGAGTAAGTCCAGCTGTATATACGCTGATTGGAGGGCTGAGAGAGATGATGACCTGTGTGTACTGGATGGTGAAGATGGCGTGGGATCTGCTGCTGGCATCGTGGTTGTGAGTCGCTGCGGTGATTCGGTTGGCGATGCCTTCCTCCAAAAGGTCCATGGCCTGCTTGCAGTCGGAGACCACGTGCTGGGAGAGGTCTGACGAGAGGGGAAAGAAATGAGAATTAACTAAGAGTAGTTACGTTTTATATCAACCTCAAAATCTTTGTTAATGTACTGACACACTGGGAAGTAATTTGTGTGAAACTTGGGGTGGAAAACTCCCAGTCAGAGTAAGACCAGATACATTGTTATGTATCAAGGTGCACATTATACAAAAAAATATGTTATTTTACAGAATCTTCTAAAGATTTTGAAAGGATTTTTATGCTTTCGTATGTCTGCCAGAGGAATAAGGCTACACTGGTGGAATTAGTAAAATAAATAAAAGATTATTGACCATCTGACACTTTTTGTAAACATGGTGTAGAGATAAATCTGAGAAGAAAAAAACAACATAAAACTGACAATGACTAGAGACTGATAACTCCTCAGGAAACATGGAAAAGACATTTAGGCAGAAGAATAAAAAAAAAACTAAAAAAAACAGAAATGTGAAAAAGACACAAACAGGAAATGTGAGTCATCAACGTTTGCTCCTGCTTGAACAATTGTTTTAAATAAAACAATAAAAAAAAAAAACTCTACTTCCAGGTGTGAATCATACATTTTAAGAGGCTGTTCAACACATGCACACACAGATTACCACAGAGGCACATGGTGCTATAACATGTGGTTACTTATTCCTTGTTCTAATAAGAACATTTACCTTAAATATTTATATTATTCCAAAAGAATAAGAGTGACAATGAAACACTGTTTGATGGACAAGAAGTAAAAGCTGGAAGCCTTTAATGCGCTCTTTGTGGGAGGTGACGTGTTCTCCTTGGAACCACGAGGAAATGACTTCACGTCCTCTGGTCTACTGGGATTTCTCCAGATACTGACAATGAGTGGATGTGGGGCTTCGCACACAGTGATGGGGCGGATGAGAGGGAGAGAAGGAAAGAGAGGGGGGGAGGATGAGAGAGAGAAAGTCCGAGCCCAAGACCGACAAGTCTGCACCGGATCAAAATCTCTATCAAGAGAACTAAATTCCCTCCCTGACCACACACCACAGTGACTAAACTAAACTTACAAGACATGAGCATTACTTAGAATACTGAGGATGTTACACATCCAAGTCCATAATTTGACCAAAGGATGTGTCTGAGAGTGTAGAGCAAAGAAGATTGAACCTTTGGTTTCCACTCTCATCTTCACTCTCTTATTGCAAATTGTTTCAGACAGATTCTTTGACTACCTGATCCATTGCTGAGTGTGGGGTCATGTTTGAACATTGAATTGGAATTCTAATGTATTTAAAAAGGTCTTTATACATACTCTTAACTCTTTACCTTTTCTGCACAGGGTTTTTATGTCTATGAGTATGCCCGCATATGTAGGTGTGTGTATATATATAGTAAAGAAGTAAAGTTAATAAAATTAAATAAAACAACTTATTTTTGGGGGCAAGAGTTGAGAATCAGCATCTTCTGTATCCTGTTCTTGCTGAAGAAAGGACGCCTTTCGAATGTAAACTGAGTTCAGCTCTGGGATGTACAGTGTTGAAGTACATGTTTAATGTCCACCACTTTACAAAGACGGTAGAAGGAAACACTAACCTTGTACGTAGGGTCCTTTCTCAGGGTGTTCTCTAACTCTCAGGGAGGCTCTCTTCTTCTGCTCTCCTCCTCTCAGCAGGTCTCGCACACGCTCATTGTAGATCTCCAGGAAGCTGCAGAAGGGACGAGACAACACACTGCTATCAGGACACACACTTGATGTGACGTCAACGGTGATCATTCAACTTCAATATGCATATGTACTGTCCCATTATGCTTTATGTGAGTTGGAGGGGGGGGACATAACACAATACACCCTGGCTTTATGTGAACCGGGTCATAGTCATGGTTACATGGTCTGGGTTTGTGCTGGTCCAACCAAACGACCCAGACACACAGTCTACTCCTGTAATTACATAAAGCATAATATCTGCTTTGTCAAATTAACATTGCCTTCAAGAAGCTGAGGATGCCTCCAACACCGACAAGGATACACAGTTTGTAATTTGCATTGTTTTGCCTGCAGCTTTGCAGCATAATTGCTCCGTAAGTACCCGTGTAATTTGAATGTCAACATCAGAAAACAAATTAAAATTGCGGTGATTAAAAAAAAGAAACGGAGAGACAGTCGCACACAGTCAGGCGTTTGTAACGCAATACCTGATCTCCACTCTGCTCGAGTTTTGCTCATCAGGAAAAGTGTCTTCAGACCTAAAGAGACCCTGCAAGGAAAGGAGAAATCAAAATGACTTCACACCACAACGACGGACACTCAAACACTTCAATCATCAGCACGTTCTCCACATTGAACTGTACAATCCACTGACGTACCTGACAGATCCGAGGGGTCAAGCCAATGGAGTCCTGACATCATACAGAAGAAAACAATGAATGTTTGCTTATTGTCAGTGCAGCCGGATCTGGGTTAATACTTTGTGTAACAGTTGCCTAAACTGTGGCTGGTGAGTATGTATACAATGCCATGCAGTGATTTCAGTGTGCTCCTCACCGGTGTCCCCATCATGGTGTACGTCTTTCCAGATCCCGTTTGTCCGTACGCAAACAGGCACACATTGTAGCCCTCTGAGGCTCCGGACAGCACCGACACACCCAGGTCCTGGAACACCTGAGGAACATTAACGCACACCCTAAATCACAAATACACAGAGAAAGACTGACTAAGAGACGGCTATAAATAACTGGGTGGAGTAGAAAAATGTCTAGATAATTAATAAGGGTGCTGATTCAGGACTTCAAATAAACATGTTAGCGATAGAAGTCTTTTTTAGTAAGATTGGAAATGCCTGCAAACACATCTGAAGGCATGTTTGACTAGAAACGTAGCTGCTCTCGTGGGCTGATGGGGTGCAAAACAGCGTAAGCCGACGACCTTGATTTTACTTGCGTTGTGTTCTTTACACGAGTGTAGATTTACACCGAGGTTTCACGATCACAATGCTGTGGCACCGGGCCAGTGGTGGGGAGGTGATGTAGCTTCCTGCTGAGGTGTTTGGCTAAGGAGCAGGGAGGTCAGTTAATACTCCGGGTAAACAACTCAGCAGAATGCGTATGTGAGAGAATCAAATATGAGGGTGAAAAGACTTTGAGAAGTAACCGGGTCAGGAAAATAAACGTTGGATAAAAGCACGGTGGTGAGACGTGGGATCGGGGAGAGTCGGACTGAAAACAATCCACTGAGGCCTTTTGTTTTCCTTCTCTCCGTCTGTGTTGCTGAGTCTGGAGATTATTAGCACGAGGGCAGATCACAACCACTGTACCCACTAACAAACTCCATCATCCCAATATCAGACAAGTATAACATTCCTTTACCCAGATATAAATACAAGATCAAGATATACATCTACTGGAATATGCACTCAGTTGTCAGTTTATTAGGTACTACTTGGTACTCCTGCAGTAAATGTCTACCTAAACGACCATTGTAATGTTCAGTTTGTGTTGGAACTGTTCCAGAAAGATGTTGATTTGACTTTAGGATCATTTCGGAGGCTGCACTTTGGGGTGCTGTTGACTAATCGTTTCAGCTCTGTATTTGGCACCAGCGTCAAACAGTGTGCCACGTCTAGAAGCCACTTACTCTGCTGCCGGGGGGGAAATATGGACCTAGTTCACTTTCAGAGCTGACAAAAAGCCAGCCAGCATATTACGTTCCCTGTTACCCTAACAAACCTGTTTTTCCATGGTATCATCACACAGGCATACATTTGCAGATACTTATCTTCTTATGGGAGTCAGTCAAGTATCCCGTGATAAGAACGGATCATTAATTAAACACCTTGCTGCACCCGACACATTGGGAATGACAAGTGTGGGTGTTTCTTATTTATTATAGGTCATCAGTGCCTAAAGCATGTAGAGCTGCAGCCATTGATTGATTATTATTATTCAATCAATCGAGTAATCGGGTATAAAATACATAAGGAGCAATATTAAATGTACAAAAGATAAATTAACTAACTGGTGTCCATTTTAGAAATAAATGCAATAATAATATTTGTCAAAACTAAACCAATGTAGTGCATTTAGGTGCCATATTACAGTCTGGTTTACCAATATTTTTTCCAAATGAAGACTTGTTGCAGATAAAGCGCGGGGGGGGGGGGGCAGCAACTTGATCTGGATCAGACCTGAGAACCATAACACACCTTGGGGATCAGTGAGGGGTCTACTCCCCTGGATACTGGTGGGTAAGTACACAGTGGAGAGGGGAGGAATGCTCTCAAAGCCACCATAACCTCCACGGATCAAACACAGGAATCATTTCAACAAACCTCCCGTGTGTGTGTGTGTGTGTGTGTGTGTGTGTGTGTGTGTGTGTGTGTGTGGGACGACCGACCGCTGTCAGGAGAAGTGAGAACCTGGAGCTAAGCCTGTGTATACTCTGGGCTTACACAACGGTGGGAAGAATAGGTTTTAGGTGTGATGCGGTTGAAAGCTCTTGGCCTTGTAAAAGCAATCTGAAAAGGATTCAATGGTCATCTGGTTGTTCCTAGGAGTGTGTGAATCTGTGTGTGTTGATATTCATCAGCCTTGAGATTTCTCTGCGTAAAGGAAAATATTAAACACTGACTCTGTGGAGTGAAGCTCACACAGAGACCAGCATCTTATCTCACCACAACTGATGAAGCAAAAAACACAGAGTCTAGCACAGAGACTTGAAATCAGGTTTAAGTCACTAGAATTTAGTCAAAATATTTTCAGTCACTCTGCTTTCAAAAGCTCAAGAATATGAAGTTGAAACACCAGTTTGTCAATTCAAGGGCTAACAACTAGTATTTTAATTATTAAGTACTCTGCAGATTATTTTTCCTAGAAAAAGCCGAGTTCAGCCTAGAAAATGTCCAAAAAACGTCCATAACAATTTCCCAGTCTTCAAATGTCTTGTTCTATCCAACAACAAGCTGTAATCGTTGCTTATTCATTTTTTTGTCAATCGTCTAATTGAATTATTGTCTCATCCTTTCATCTCGAGATCATTTACAGACAACAAAAAGAACAATAAGGCTAATCTGCTTTTTTTCATTTCCTTCACAAACCTACAAGTGCTGAAAAGGATATTAAAGATGTTAAAGGTAATTAATTCATAAGGTATGAAAAAAACCAAACGTTCTCTCTATTGTCTATCATTGTAAATTGAGTATCTGTGTCTTTTGTACTGTTGGGCAGACCAAACAACACATGTGAAGATGCAGCTACGGCGCTGGAAACATTTGTCACCGCTTCCTGACAGTTTAAAGACTAGACAACTATTTACCAAAAAAAAAGACCTTTACAGATTAATCAATACAGAAAATAGCTGTTAGCTGCAGCCCAACAAACACATTTTTCATTTTAACGTATTGTTCTGTAGCCTAGCCAACCGTGTGCAGACAACCGCCACGTGCAACTAGTAAAAGTGCTGCCACAGCGGCTGTCTCACTCAGTGACCTTATATAAATCACCCAACAGGCACCATGGTGCAGACATCTAACACAACGTTATTCCTACGTATGGAACCCATTATAAACCTGGGAATTAAGACTTTTAGCCCAACTGGGACTGAAACTAACAGAGAAAAGCTGAATTTGAGTTTTCCTGTTAAGAAGAACATTGAAACCGTGTGTTACGTAACTTTTACCCAATAAACAGTAATGTGACAAAGTGTGCAGCTCTCTGGAGTCCAGACCACCTGGAGCTGCCGCCTGAATGGAGGCTTAAGCATGAAGACAAAAAGCAGTGCTGCCCCGGCCTTGTGCTCATCCTACTATTCAAAAACAGACTCAGACAACCTGTCCTCCCTCAACGACAGAGAATCAATACAGCTCTTGTTAAAACTGACCCTCTTAAAGTCACTCTGTGGGGGCTACGACAAGGCTGAGGGTCCCTCCAGGCTGAGCACAAAGACCAGGAACTTCACTTCAACTGTGTACTCCGTCTCTGAACTTGACTCTCTTTTCTCTCTGTACACCATCTCTTTTCAAAACAGCAAAATACTTAAAATAATGGCAGAATAAAACCACAATAGGAAGCACAACCCTATTTCAACCTCTAGAGTTTGTCTAGACGATCATGTCGGGCAACTTTAAAACAATCCTGTTGTTTGTCATCTCTGTCACACCGATATAAATCACAAGTTTGTAATTTGTGCTCTGACTGCTTAAATGGACATGAAGGCCGTCTGCCACAACCTACTTTCACAGTTTCCCTGCAGCATTGGGAGGTATTTTTGGACGAACAAAGCAGTTGAGGTAGGAGGCAGATTGCATTGTGGGAATGAAAATGTACTCCAGGATCAAATGAAGCAGGAGAAAAACAGCCTGGAGATAAAGAGACTGGGCCACAGCCATAGCAAGCGTACAGGCTTGGTTGGTCGCCTCAGAACACACAGGGGACAGACTGAACACCTACATTAACAGGAAGGCGGTTGTCATCAGCACGCCGCTGCACGTGTGTGTGTGTGTGTGTGTCTGCTCGGTTAAGCCATTTAGAGGAAACAGCATCCACAACAAGGACAAAAGCTTCAGAGTTTGCTTCCCTCTCTGGGGAAAAAAAAAGAAGTACAAACAATCTAACAATGAAAGAGGAAAAGCAGAATATAGATTTCATTCTTGTACAGGAAAAGCAGCTCAAACTCCTCCGGTCAAAACGGAGCGAAAGTAAGGAAGAATAAAAAAGGCTTTAGGGTTAGAAGGGATCTAAGCAGATCTAGGAGAAAGTGTTTAACTACTTTAAATCTGTACTGCCACATGATATACATCCACTTTAAAGTAAAGTGGTGACATACAAACAGACGCCGTTATCTTGTAAAATCCTACTGGCAACAGATCTCAAAAGGAAAGGATTGGCCCAGACCTCTCTTCTGAAAAACAAGGAACCAGCTGGGTCTCATCATGCCAGAGATCTGCACCGCGATAAAAACGGTGTTTTGAAACACTTCTTCCCCCCCAAAGTGGCAGCCTAGTTGGTGGCCTGGTAACACAGAAAAAAAAGGAGAGAAAGGCAGCGGAGTGGGTAAGAAATGTTGAAAAAGAGCAGCAATAGTGAAAGAGAAGGACAGCATGAAAACGAGTGAAGAAGTAATGGTGTAATGGCTCTGTAATGAGACAAGTCCTGTAATCACTGGCTGTGGAAAAAGCCAATTGCTGGTCTGGTTTTATGTGGCCGGCTCTACACTAAACCCTGGAGAAGTATTTATGTGTAGTGTGTGTGTGTGTGTGTGTGTGTGTGTGTGTGTGTGTGTGTGTGTGAGAGTAAATGTGTGTAATATGTCGTCAGGGGTGATGGCAAAAGGCCAGACAAGCACAGTGAAGCACTTCGCCACATTTAAAAACTTGAGCTTCTCGTTGCTTTTGCCAGGTTTGATGCAACCTAGAGGGCCGAGATTCATTTCCCCTCCACCACTGCTCTCACGGGGAGGACCTCAGAGTGAAAGAGTTAAGTGCAAAAGGAGATGCAACTTTCTCCCAAACATGATATCCAACAAACAAAGCTATCAACTGGACAGCTGCAAAAGAGGCGAGGGTCGCTCGGTTCCCTTCCCACACTTTCCAACTGGGTTAGACAAACAGCTGGGCTCTGAGCAAAAGTTAAACGCTTTGGTTTAGACACAGGAAAAGAAATGTCACTGGAGACATCCTTGTCCTTACTTCCTGCTAGGAATCTGGGTTAGAGAATCAAAAGGTGGAAAGAGGGAGAGATGTGTAGAGTGGACTACAGGGAGGGAGGACACAGACAGGGAAAAAACAGGAGACATGGAGGAAGCTGTTTGGCCCGAGTTCAACAATGCTCTCGTTTGTCACACTCGGACAGAATTTGTAGGTCAAATTAGTATGGGGAGGGCAGAGAGGGAGGAGGGAGAGACAGGGATGTGCAGGCCAAAACAGATAGGCTGCTCTTCATTACTCAGGCCTCCCTCCAGTGTGGGGGGGGAAGAGAAACAGAGATCAGGAAAGTGAAGGCAGAAGTCTCTCTGGCAGAGCGCTCCATTTATCAGTACACACTCTTGTTGCGACTGCATGGGGCAAACGGCTGGACCTAAAACAAATACACAACACCATATCTGGAGAGAGTTTGGGGATTTGCTGCTCCTCCCCCCAAATCCTCGTTAAAGGGGCCAAAGCACAATGCTGTGGAAAATGACTTCTTCAGCCTTCAGACTGATGGGAGCTGTGTGTGACATCCACAGGGTACAGTGGTACCATAGAGGGGGGTAACCTGGACCAGTATTACCACAGAGCTCAACTACTATTCTTACACTCTGTGAGTGTGTTGTGTGAGGACCCACAGCCATCAATTACCCCATGAATATCAAAGCTATCAAAAACATGTGATGTTTAATACACATTAGGTCAGATAATGAAATAACAAGGCAGAGAAGCTTCTCGTTAGATCTTCACCAATCAGCGAACAAAAGATCCAACTTTGGCACCCAGACTGCCGATTGACCGTCTCCATGACATGATGACATGATGACTCGGGACCGAATGAGCCGGAGACGGACGACGTAGCGCTGCAACATGTGTCTGTCAGTTTAATTACGCTCTTTCAATTTTTAGAAATGTGTTTGTATCGTTATTTGTTATTGAATAGAAAACATTTTCCAAAAGGTTTGGTGCGTTTTAAGCATGTTTGTGATCTCGAGGGGTTAAAACAAGTAAGTCCAGTAAGTCCATACACAGACCACAGGTGCTTTTCCTGTACCCATATGGAGGAGGTCTCGTATTTCCTCACTGACTGCATGTGTTATTCGCTGACCTGTTTGTGGTTAATTCAAACCAGGCCGGACTGTGTTGAGGGGGAGCAAACGCACATGTGTTTGGAGGATTCTTCTCATACACAGAGAGGCTATTCTCTCTCTGACACACAGACCTAGAAACACTGTGAGAGCATAATCAAATCTCACAAACACACACACACACACACACACACAAGAGGAGGAGGAGAAGAGGGAAAAGCCCCAGCAAGCCAACTCCTTTTGGCAATAAAAAACAGCATTGTGCTCTGAGATTAATCCTCAGCAGTGACGTCTTTGCGCTGAGATTTAACTGTGAAACATTACTTTGCGAGGCAGCTGTGAGTTTGGCTGAGGAGGCACCGTGGATCCTCCTGCCCATTCCCCTCCTCCTGCTCCTCCTCTACCCGAGGAATTCACATTTGCACTCTCTCTCTCTCTCTCTCTCTTCGTAAATCAGTTTCTCTCACCATTCCCCGTCTCAATCCTCCGCTGCTTTTTTCAATTTACTCGGCCATATTTCTCACCATCAGAAGCAATAAACAAAGCTGAGGGGTTTGTGTTATTAAATTGTGGGAAAAAGCTTTTTTATTAGCTTAATATATAGTCTCAAAATAAAGGCAGCATTGAGACAAACAGTCCCAACAGCTGGCTCACATTATGGATTATGTTTCTCTTCCAAAAAGCTTACTTCTTCTCACCTGGCAGAGCCCTACTCCTTCCTCTCTGCTCAACTTTCTTCGAGAAACTTTTTTCACTCAAAGATACAACTTAAAAACAAGTTGGTTTTCTTGTCGGGAGCCTCCAGCGACAAGAACACAACCACGTCTGCGCCCCAACATATAGTTAAACACCACAGTTCTGTCTACACTCTCTGCTGTAACCGTGTATCTGGTGTAAACCATCAGCGATGCATGGACAGGTACATGCATCCCTGATGGAAGGCGCTGGGTGTGTTGGGAAAGCGCTGGACCGGGAAAGCAAGAGTTAAGATCCACTTTTCCCCATGTCTCATTCCACCACTGGCTCACATTGTCTTCGTCTCGTGGGGACTACAATGCGAGACGAATTCAGAGCACGTCCCTCTTCCTGGTCTGAAAAAAAGAAAAGCATGCTAAAAGATGTTTTGAAAGTAGACACCATGAGAAAATCCAGCGCTGGCAAAAAGCCACAACTCATTAATGGTTTAAAAATATATGTGGATCCCAGATAAGAGAGGAAAAATCCCATACGTGAGAACTACTGCCTGAACGTAATGCCACTACGTGAACTGAGGCGACTCAACAGTAGTGGGGGAATTAACATCAAGTCCCAACATCGCTGGAAAGTTTTGGTTGTGGATAACAAATCTGACACAGGTTCACTGCTCTAAACAGCTATTTGTCTGGTAAAATAGTTAAGAGTGGCTCTTGGATTATTGTGTCCACCTGCCACTGTGCTCCATTCATCTGGCCTGCTGCCCTACAACACAAACACGGTATTCTCTGCTTTTTACATCAAGCACCGCGTCTTCAGATCCACCAGAGAGATGCCCTATTCAAATAAACTCAAGTGTGATGTGATCAGTTAACGTCGGTCTTCTACGAGATTCTTTGTTAAAAGAGGCAATTCTTTGCATTCTGGTGCAGGAAGAAGAGGTCAGATTTAAATCCTCTGTCTTTCAGTGGTGTCCTTTTCGCCCCCGCCCCCCCGGGACAACAGAGGAATGTCTTGTGGCAACCGGGTTCGCTGTGACTGGACACAATTCTGCTGAGGAGAGCGGCAGCCAAAGCCAGAGCCAGCAAGAGAGGAATAAAAAGGACGTGCTGTGTTGTCCGTGGCTCTGAGCAGTGTGTAGGCCGTCTCTCAGCCTGGTCTTTCTCAAACACATACAAAGGCATCTCTGACAAGAGGAGAGGCAGTGAGGGAGTGGCAGAGGAGAGGAAAAGTAACACTAAGGGAGCGGCTACTGTGTTGAACAATGAAAACACGATGGAAAGACAAATTAATAACAAGAAAACTTAGAACTCTATATGACTAGGTTGTGGAGAGATTTCCTGTAATGGACTCGGGGACCACTTCCCCTTGATCCGGAGCCTGTCTCGGGTTCCAGCAACACCCTCCAATCAAAGCAACACAAAGATATCTAACAGCCCAATCAGAGCCAGGACATGAAAAGCGAGCCGACTCTAGCTATGCCATGTCTGAGGCAAAGAGACTTCTGGGTAACAGATGGAGCTGATATCATATACCCCGAGTGGCCATCTGTGAACACATGCACAACACACACACACACACACACACACACACATGTCTTGTTGTGGTTTGTCTACAAGGACTGTGTTTCCTCTGGGCTCTTTTCTTGGTATAGAGCTTATGTTTGGTCCGGTGTCAACTCGTGGCCAAAGGCCTGGATTGGCATGCACACAAGAGGGAATACAACATGGCATGGGAACAAGAACAATCTTTAGATGGCTACGTGTCAAACTATACTTATCCGTTAGAAAGGACATGAAGCGGACAATAATCTCACTCACTACACTAATACTGACCGCAATATTCAAGAAAACAGTCAGATTAAGAACATGCAATGTAGGTTCTGGTTCTCCGTGTGTATATCTGTAAGAGAATCTGTCAAAGCACTGTTTATTTTGCCATCGTTCCACTTAGATAACCACAAGGAGGAACCACAGCAGCAACATCACAGAACCATTGGGTTTGAGGCTGAACACCGGATGTGAACTCTGATGTTGTGACATAGTGTGGAGGGTTCCCCTTCTGTCATGACTCAGGCTATGCCCCATAGCATGTAAATGAGAAAATTAAGGGAATTTGGTATTAGTTCATGCAGCATCATTGGAGTAAGGTCAGGTTTTAGGTGATTACCTCCTCCTGCGAGGCATAGTGAGGCTCTGCTGGGTCCACCGACCAGTAGCAGTAGTCGAAACAAAACTCCAGAAGCTTCTCCCTCGAATCCACAGCACCATCCCAACGTCCATCCAGCTTCAGAAGGGAAAGCAGAAGAACAAAGCACATAGGGATTATTATCATATGATCCAATAACAGTCAACATCCGGGCATAACAAGTCAACAAATGCAGCATAAATACTTATTAAATAATCAGGAGTTTCTCTTAAAGTACAAGCAATAAGTCTACTAATCGTTTAAGAGGCAGAGGCTGTAACCTGCTTACATTTAATAACAGACAAAATTTTGCAAAAAGAAATATGAGCTATAAATAAATAATCAACTGATAAAAGCCAGGTACAACAGGTTTTGCTTATTGGATCGCTGTGGGGTGAAATTGCAAGCAAGTTGTTTCCATTCATTAACAACGCCATCACTCCTCCAGTTCTTGAGTCGCCTCAGTGCATTAACAGTAAACACCTCTTTGCTTACTGTGAGTGGATCCTGAAATGAGGAAATACATCAGAGCAGCATTTGGACAACAGTTGCACTGGAAACACATTTCTTCTAAAATCACTGCATTCAACCTGGAACCTATAGAGGAATGTATTCGAAGTAGACAACAGGTTTGTGCGCATTGGGGCGTGCATGTGATTGTGACCTCACTGTAAACACGAGATGTATTGTAGCTGCATTGAATCGTGGTCTCTTGAGGTAAAATGGTTGAAAGGATGTCACAGCTGGGCAATATACAAATATAATAGTATTGTAAGGCAATATATCAGCTGGGTTATATACCAGTTGTTGTAATTTAATAAAACATCATTCCAGCTCTAGAGTTACAATATTCTGTGTCTATTCGGTTGTAGTTTGGTAAAACAGCTTTAACTCTAATTAATGTAACGATCTGATTGAAATTGGTCATCCAAAATGATTATCTGTGAGCTCTACTTCGTTAGGTTTTATGTGTGTACCATCACATTATCAAAGTATTGAATCACATAGCTCGTGTTTAACAGCGCTAAGACTCTTCAGCCCTTTCTCCTTAATTCTGAAGACCTGACATTTACTATTCATTTTTGACAAATGAGATTTTGTGCTACTCTCAGATTCCAATGCAATTATAAAAAACAGCTTGCGATGCCATCAAGGTATCATGTTTACATTTGACGAGTGCAGGTTCATCGTTGGAGCTGGGAAACGTTAAATGTCACGCTCGAGTCCACTTCAGTGGTAGCTTCATGCCAAGGAGTTATTTAGTCCCTGTTGTACTTCAAACCAAGCGGTCAGTCAATCAACTAACTCATTATCCAAATGATGAATCCACCCGACCGTCATGTAAATAGCCTTTTCTTTATCTAACTGCAGCACAAGGCAACACTAATTGCTGGGTATCAATGTTGTTCACAGCAATTGGTTTGCCTGAAAGTGTGATTATTTAACCCCTCAGCACATTTAGGACATTCAACAGCGGCCTCGTAGTGTAAAGGATTCGCCAAGAGCAACATCAGCCACAGGCAACAGAGCTCCGTCCGCTGATAAAGACCCGCGTTTCATAACCAAGACTTGTTATTGTTTCACACTCTTTAATCAAGTTCAGTAGCTCTTTATAGCTTGTATTACTTGCGGTTTGTTACTTTGCTTTAAGTTTTATTGTCCTTTAAAATCCATCCTTTTTTCTTTCTGTCTTGGATCTTCCAAAGCGGTCCGACTTTCCATAAATAATTGTTCCCATGAGACTCCCATGAGCCCGTGCAAGGGCCTTGATCCTCCACGGCAGAGGGAGGCCACATGTGGTCTGTCTCCGTCACATCATTTGGAACAGGTTCTCTCCTCCCCCACCCGACTTCTCTCCATACACCAGAGTTTAACATGTAAAAAGCTCTGGAACTACCAATGTGATCAACAAAAGGTCTCCATACGTGTGAGCAGGTTCTAACTCAAGGAGTTGTAAGCCGACTTTCTTTTATCTTTTTCTATGTTTGCTTCACATTAGAGATGGACGTTTATATATACGTATAAGACCTTTCAGACACACAAAGTGTTATCCTGTCATAATGAGCTAAAGCAAACATTCACAAGGAAAAATGTGGTGTAACAACAGCAGGCTTTCTGCAGGCAACGCAGCTCAACCAATCAAGCGAGCCTACTCAGCCGTCTGATGCAGCAGGTCGGTAAGTTAGAGAAAGTGTCAGCTTACGAGAACTCACATCAGAATTATTTCCAAATGTGCCTGTGAAACCGAAACTAATAACTAAAACAAACAAAAAACCAGCCTCTTCAGCTAAAATACACTACAAAACAACTTTTCACACTGCTATTTTCCTGCTTATTATTAATAAGGCCTGGTGCAAAGCTATGATACGTGATATTTTATGTACTATAGTTTATTCTCTATCCAAAAATAATGAAAGGAATTCAGTCTGTAGTATCTGAAGTCTGCTGTAGTCGTGTTGCTGTATATATTGGGGTGTCCATCAGTGTATGTGTGTGTGAGCTCAACACATATAATAAACAACAGTAACATCAAGCAGGAAGTGGCCGATTCAAGACTCTAAACATCCTGTCGCTGTGACAGATAGCCTCTACACACAGTACTCCCACTTCACCCAGTCCTAGTCCTAAGACACACATAATAACAACAACATTGGATGTGTAATGCAACATTTTCACACCAAACACACTCACCTTTATATTTTTGACCCTTACAAGCTTGTCCTCCACCTGAACCGCCAGCCTTCCTTCATCCGCCCTCTCCCTGTGAGCAAGAAGACAACCATTGCTTCAGTCAAACTCTGTAAACATCCAAAATTTGGAAGCGTAGAGAAATCTTTCGGACAAGTGAGAAATCCGATCGGAGAAAACATTAAGACACCAATAGAAAGGAGAGGGTCTAAGGGGGGGGGGGGACGCTATCAGTATTAATCAGAGTCTCTCACTCCAAATAGAAAAAGAGATTTAACAAAAGGTTTTACTTTGGGTTCAACACCCCACACGCAGATTCAAATAGGTTTCAAATCTTTTTGCCGATGCAGATGCAATTGAAAGGGTGTTCAGATACATTTAGACCACTTGACTTGAGGCCGTCACGTGACAGTTAACACAATGAATCTGTGTGTGTGTCGCCAACGACCAGCTTCAGATTCAAATGAAAACAGACGCCAAAGACTTGACTCTGATGTGGTCGTCCTGGTCTGCTTCCACAATTTTGAGAGCGTGTGCAAGTTTGTGTGTGTGTGTGTGTGTGTGTGTGTGTGTGTGTAAAACAAGGTCAACTCAGCTATGTGCGCTTCAGCAGCTGGACCAAGCACATCTGATGCAACACACGCGAAACTGGAGGCAATCACAACATTGGAGCCGAGAGAATTTCGATCTCCAGGAGCGATAATGACGGCGGATGCTTCCAGCAGTGCAAAACGCTGCTTCTCTCTGTGTGGTGGGTTAGGAGGCTGTCGTAATCGTGCTTTACCATGCGGGACTCATTCTGCCAACCCAACCCAAAAACCACCAACCTTCAGTCGCAGGCCACAAGTAGCACGGAGGAGAGGAGGCTGGTGGTGGAAAATAGTAAACCTCGTAAAAAAATGTGTGTCGATGCAAACCCAAGACGAGCAATTGCACAATCAGCCCCGACATGTTGTTTAAGCACATGTGAGTGGCATCTTTCAAACACACACTTCTGTGCCCGGGCCGAGTGAGAAATGTAGCTGACCGGTCTGGTGTTAATGTTATCTCCGTCTCACAGCAGGCCCTCATTCAAACATACAAGTAAGGAAATACATCCTTCAGAAAGGAGAAGAGGAAAGTGAGACCGACAGAATCAGAAATCAGGACGCAGAGATTTGCATGACAGTGAAGATTATTTATGAGACGTGCTTTTGTTATGCAAAATACCAGGAAGACGGGTTGAAAGAATCATTGTCCGACCCTTCATAGCTTCAATAATGCTTTGTTATGGTACTGTAGTAAGCACCCCTACAAACCATCCTGCGGGACTTCAATTTAACTCAATGAACTACTAGCACTTTATATTTACTATATCCCTAAATATCTGTTATTCAACATGTTGAAGCAATTTACCTCCAGTGGAGCCAAGTCACTTTACAACCTCCCTGTGTTTAAACAGCAGATTTCACAGCAATATTAAATATTAAATATTAAATAAAGTTTTTCCATAAATGCCTCTCACTTAACGAAGAGAATAGCTTAAAAGTATAAAGAGCAAATTAGAATTAAGTCTGTTTTGTATATCAAAAATGTTGCTTACTTAAAAGTAGGACTACAGAGTTCATTATCTGACCAATATAATATATTAGGAAGCACATACAAGGCCTTTGTTACATACTGTGTGTTCGTTTGTCCAATTTCTTTTGAGCCTCTGAAAATGTAGGCGGCTGTGTAAAAAGGGCTGTAATTCCTAAATGGTTATTGTGATTTTTTTTTGTTATATCCATTGAATTAAAGCTGAAAGTCTACACTTTAAGCACATATTGACTGCTTAATTTCAAAGCCATTGGAGTACACAATATTTTCTTTATAACTTTTCCTAACTAGGTCCAGCTTTTGGTGTACATTACTCAGCAGCACACACACACACAAGCTGCTCAGGCAGACAACACTACTGACAGCCACAGTTGTCATCACCCACCATGTGCAACCACTCCACTGAGTGTTTAAGCTAGTTAGCCTAACGTTCGTTTCTGTTATGTTACTCCGCTAAAGCAAGTTAGTGCTATAATACAATAACACGAGAAGCTTCATATGTTTGTATGTTACTAGCATTAACAGCCGAAGTCCCATTACTGGCAACAACAGGTCTGATATGAATTGAGATGCGGAGGCAACTAACGTTAAAACACTCGAATAATGTCAATTAAAATAGCCTTTTAATTACCGTTAATGTTATCTCCCGTTAGAACTTACCTTGCGTTGAGAGGACGGACTCGAACGGCAACTTTAACGTTTGCCATGTTGCCTTCTATACGAACACAACTCTCTCAACAGTCGACTAACTCGGAGCTGGTGTACGACAACAGCTCCGGTGTGGACATTTTTGAGTCTTCTTGCATATTAATCCCATAAGAGTTCAAAGAGCGGGAGGTAACCGTCCAGCCATCCGCTGTTCCAAGTCACCTCTACCCGGCTGAACGCGGGTTCAACCGCCCGCCGCGTCACAGCTAACGTTCAAGTCTTAACCGGAGAAGTTAAACTTCCTGCTGGACATAAAGGGAGGAGAGACGCTCCTCCTACGACTCCTCCTACGACTCCATATTCAAATCCCCTTCTTAGTTATTACTTAAATCTACTATTGAGAGATTACACTTTGTTTTGTTGGCTGATAACGATTTATAATCCGATTAGTGGATCGTTTCAGTGATACATTTTCCCGCCATTACGATATAAAATCAGTACGATGACAACACAAAAAAAGAACATTTAAAAGCAGAATACTTTATTATTTTTGTGGCAACATAAAAATATTTCACTTTAAAAAAGCAGCAGGGAATACAGCGAATACTCGTTCAACATGAACTAAAAACCAAACACAAACTGCAGTCTTGCATTCATAGAGCAAACATGCAATCACCAGTAGTGGCGGTCAAAGGCAGTGTGTGAAAGTGCTGTACTAAAATTAAGTCTTTCTATGTTATCTGGTAAGTCTAAAAGTCCATTTTATTAACAAGAGTTCCTTTAAAAACTATGGCTTGCCTGATAGAATACTTCATGTAAAAATTGGGAATAAAACTGCATGTTTTAAAGAGTCACGGTCTTTAAGGTGACACTGAAGCTACTCCGTTTGAGTCCTCAGCAGTTTGATGCTGACCCGTCTTATGTCTTTGCCAATTCTCTGCAATGGTCTCAACTGTTTGAAATGTTTCATCTACTGTACTAGTATTTCCCTTCGGACACAATCACGTATACCAGGTGTGCTTGCAGGAAAGTTTAACAGGTCTAAAAAAAGGTGTGTAATGGTGTCGTCCTCTAGCTACGTCTGACTGGCAGGGCTCTCTGGTTGTCACCTTAGCAAAAGAGCAGAGGGATTCATGAAAGGCTGCTGTCACTTCACAGGAGAACAAAAGTCTGAAGCTTGCAAAGCCTGTGCAGAGGCTGACTGTGGTGCAGCTTTGATGGGCTGTGCAAAAATATATATAAAATGGTCAACAACAAGAAGTCACCCAGATCTGTCTCTCTCTCCTGAATAACACACTGATAGATGCCACATAAAACACAGTGTGGATAACAGAAAAAGATGCTGTGGGGACGCCGAGCAGTAATATTGCCGTCATGTAGCTCCCTCTACTGTCTGTTGTGAGACCTGCAGTATATCCAAGTGGCTCTGCAACTCAGCCAGAGGCAAGGGGGGTTTAATACTCTGTGACTGCAGCTGGAAATTCTCTATCAGCTCCTGAAATGATAGGGAATTGAGAGAACAAAGTGAGCAGCAGGAACGAGTTGAAAGGGGTCAAATCGCGAGCAAAAATAATGGATTTTCAAGGAATAGAAGATGACAGGAATGCAGCGAACCCCTCACCGCTGGCAAGGCCAAGTTCGTTAGCTTCTTCCAATGAGATACGACCTCTTCCTCGCTCAAGACGTGTCCGTCAACCAGCTTTCGAACCAGAAACAGGTAGTTCTTCCACTAAAAAGACAGGGGAATGCATTACAAAAGGTTAAGAGACAGAGTCAAACAACTTTCAAAGAAATTAAGTCATTAAAAAAAAGGTTAAATCTAGTGCAAAACATGCCATAACGATGCCAGATCACTTTATAAAGATGCCCAAAAATATGTGTAAAAGCATTCAGGTTTCATATGTCTGTGAACACAGACGATGGCATCATTTTAAGTGTTTTGCACACCTGCTGCTGCTTTAAATCCTTGATGTGTAATGCTTACAGGTGTACAGCCTATAAACATATATATAAAAAAGGTAGACGTGGTTGTAGTAGCATCATTAATACTTGTGTATCAGTCGTCGCAGCGGTAGACAAACCTCAGTGTCGCTGGCCTTCAGCACCGCGGTGACGGTGAGTGGGGTGAAGAGCAGGTGGAGGGGGGCGGAGGAACAGCGGTCGTCTTGCCACAGCTCGGCAAGCTGCTCCAGCAGCGCTCTGACAGGAGGCTCTGATCCCGAACCAGGACCCACAACAAGACCTTCACCTCCGCTGCACCCTGGTGGAGACAGTACGGGCAGCTCTGCAGACACTGAGCAGACAGATGCACACAGTACGTTAACGAGACTTTACGTTGCTATTAATGAGCTTATATCTAAACGGTGAACACATCGAGACATAGTTCCCCTGGTATTAGTCAATCATTCAGACTCTCTTACCCAGCTTGCAGGCCAGCAGGACAGTCAAGTTCAGCAGCATCTGCTCCGACATCACAGTTGAGAACTAAGTGAAGAGAAAAGAAGAACAAAGTGTGATGACTACTGGCAAAAAAAAAAAATCAGTAAATCCACCACAATTTTTGCAATTGTGTGCTTCATGTACCTTTCTGCAGGCCAGCGTGTCGACCACCCTCTGTAGCAGCGTTGTCACCTGAGAGCCGGTGAGCAGCTCCTCATCAGACCGGGGGCCTACCGCGATGCTCAGCAACTCCTAAATTAAAATTTCAGACAGACATAATCCATCTTTATTCCAGTAAGAGTTTAGCTAATTCTCCGTGTTAAACTTCCTCCTCTCATGCAGGCGTACCTTCATCTCAACGATGATGTCAGAGGGCAGTGAAGCGCTGTGGTCGCAGTGCGGCGGGCAGGATGTCACACTCTCGCCTCCTTGTTTCCTCTTGGGAGTGGTCGACGGCTCGTCCTTGGAGACCAGCTCGAGCACGGCGCCCTCCACATCCCTCGAGTCCGGAGCCACCGGGCCGCCCACGGCCTTCATCACACGATCACACCTGCTCTTCCACTCTCGTCTTATCAGGGCTGAGAAGAAAAACAGAGAGAAAATCTTAGACGGATGTCCTCAGGGAACCTTAAAATCGTTTTCCTTTCATCTACAATGATGTTCTGGAACAAGATCTCAGCAGCGCCGAGAGCTGTAAAGAGTTTTTGCATGTTCACTTCATAACAGTATCATGTATCCTCGCATAGTTTTAGTGAGCAGAAAAACAAGACGTCCTTGCACAATTTAAATGAGTCCAGTGCAATAAGCCTGCAAAAATAAAAAACAGAATATTTAGAGTTTTTACATTGGAACCCAGGCATGCAACAGTGTTTTACTTTGGAGAACTAAATGCTTTCTTCTGCCTTCATGGAAGCCAGCAGCTATTATTCATCGTGGCATGAAAATCAATTTGCAGCGATATCAAAATATGGATCCACTGACCCGAGACGCAGATCCTCTTTGGCCCAAACACCGACCGCGTTACGCAGATCGGATTGAATACATTTTTGACAACGTTGTGTTTCTGCTCATTCAACATTCATTCAGTCACGGCGGGCCACCAACGACCCCTGACCTCCTGCTGCCTTAAATATGAATGATTTCAAATTAAATTTGTGAAAAAAAAGATTCGATCACTGCTTGGTGTGGGCAAAAATCCCAAGTTGAGGCGTCAGAATCCAGAGAAAGAAGTTGGATCGGTACCTCCCTACAGACAAGTTGCTTAACACGCAAAATTAATTATTCAACACATTATTACAGAATGTCTGGTTTCAAGTTATAAACTACTTTGTGAAATCTATTTGGAATACAAATAACAAGCAACAACGACAATGTCTCATTGGTCGCACGTCTCAAGCAACAACAAAGATTGGATCCTGCGTTGGAACACAGAAAGAATCAGTTTAGCGTGTGATTTGTATTCAACGCAGTGAAAACAAGCAGAAACACGAGCGGCTACCTGTGATGTTGGCGGAGAGCCAGCTGCAGGCTTTTTCTGTTGCAAGACGTTTGGTGATGTTTTCAGATGTGGTCAGGACCTAAAAAACAAGGAGGCAACACACACACAAGTTTCTTTTTAGTGTTTTTTTCTTTACTGTTAATAAAAAAACCTCGTTAGATGTGTTAGTGGGGATCATTTCTGCACGGTGATTTAAACAGGACGTACAGCAGGAGACGTCTCATCGGAGAGCAGCATCCGTACGGCATCTGGACTCTTCTCACAGCAGAATCTGAAAAAACACATCGAGGTTACGGTGGGTGTTGAACCTCCAACAATCCACTAGCCATTCACTCATACATGCATATGGACCAGGTACTAATATCCTATTAAATCTATGGACTTGGAGGAACACAGTCTGCTTGTAAAAGATATACAAGTCATACCTGGTGGCTTTTGCCAGGGCTTCCAATCCGGCGACACACAGCTGAGCACAGATGGAGTCATTCAGCTTTGAAGGATTGGAGTTTGGCGACTTCAGACCATCTCGCAGCATCTTCTCACCTCGCTCCACCAACTCACTCACTAAAGTGGCCCTGATGAGGATCCCCAAATAAGACGGAGTGAACACACACACACAAAGATAAACAAAGATTACTAAGATGACATACAGTTCAGGTTTGATACACAGTCGCGAGCCTCTTAGGGAGGCAACAAACCAAAGTTGCAGACTGATTAACTGCTATTCTAAGCAAAAATAAAGGAAAGTGAAACAGTTCATTTAGAAATGTGTTTCTGCTTCTGTGCACTTCCAACACTCTGTGGTACTAACTTCATGTGCTTGACGGCGTTGGATCCAACTCTCTCAGCTACGAACTCCACGGTGCGACGCAACGACGGCGGCTGGTTGTGAAAGAAGGCTTGCTCGAGGTCCACCTGTCACATGTAAGTGGTTTAAATACTGGCACAAAAGGCAATGCAGAGACGTCGTTCCATATTTCACTTCACCGGCCTCTCCTGTCGACTCACCTGCAGCTTCTGCTGCGACCTGTTGGCGGTCGGCGTGTCCTTCAGCTCGGCAGAAGTGGGAGTGATCTTGCGGATGATTCCTCCACTTTTGGCGGTGCTTCCGGACACAAAGGCAGCCAAGAGCTTACGGAACTCACCTAAAAAAAAAAAAAAAAACGAGGCAGAACGTCAAAACGCACTGTTAAATATGTGCATGTTGCTTCATGGCCCATTTGTAGTGAACATACCAAATGTGATCGAAGCTATCCCGGCTCCTGAACTACAAAATGTAAATGTAAAAACGTCCCCTTAATCCCTGAGGGGACATAAAAGACGTCTTTCCACGTTCCACTCACCAAGAAATGGACAACACGTGTAGAGAAGCTGCTGATCCACCAGGGGAATGCAGTCCTACAAGATGTCAAGAGAAAGCTCAGTGTAAATGAGAAACCAGCATCATTTTATGGAGAAACAGCTACTTATATGAATATTTGACTTACGAGTCCCGCAGCACTCATGTTGCTGTCCTCCAGCTTGGCCACCTCAGTGAACTCATTGGTGAAGAAAACATCCTCAGGAATCACCGGGATCTACACACGTTCAGTTACATTTGACTGTTTTGTAAACTCTGTGCACTCTGCAGGTCATGTTTTACAACTCAATCTACGATCAAATAACATCCACAAGTCGTGTCTCACCTGGAAAAGCCAGCCCAACACAGACACCATCAGCAGCTTGTTCAGGTAACACATTTCTCCACATCTGGCCAGCAGCATTCTCCTACAAGCACACAGAAGGAACCAAGAAAGAAATAAGAAACTCTGTTTTTTTACGCTACAGGTTGAAGGAAATGCTATGCTCCTAAAAGTGCATTTATTTGACATTTTACCACGAGTGTCCCTTCTTTAGGAAACGTTTGTGGAACAAATGTGCAGAAATGGAGACGGACCTGTACAGGAGGAGCAGTTTGCCCAGTGCCGTCCTATAGCAGAGCAGGAGGGGACCAATGAAGTCCATCATGGAGAGGAACTCCACCAGCCAGGGCACGGTCAGGATGGTGCGCCTCCTTCTCATGCTGTTACTCAGCACAGCACAAACATCCAGCACCGGAACACTCTGAGGGATTGAAGAGATGTGAATACACATTTATCTTAATGGGGACATTTTAGAGTTTCCTTAATGAGATACAACACACCCACTGAGAGGAAAATAAGCATTTAGCTTGGCTTTTATCTGCTCTATTTTAAGTAGTTTATAACCCTCACCTTGCTACGCAGGGCTATGGCAGTGTCCTGTATCTCCCTGGATGGTCTCTCAGACGTTTGGTAAGGCAGAAAGGAAATGAATCCCAGAAACTTCGCCAGAAGACGAGCGAGGAGCAGCACCGAGGTGAAGCGCTGCTTCTCATCCTGATGGAACGGACAGACACAAGGTTCAGATAATGATTAAAGGCGTGTTGGTCAGATTGGTCTTTTCTGAATCTGTTTGCAATGTTGTGGACTATCCGCGCTGAAACAAACTGACGGGGCACACAATAACATCCCTTCGTCTGACTGTGAGGGTATACCTGCTGCTCCATGTCCCCGTCTCCGTCCTCCTCTACCTCCGCGATGGAAGCAGGAGGACTCAGGATGGACACCTCGTCCAGCTGGAGGAGCTGCTGACACAGGCTGTCCTGCAGGTGCTGGTTCAGCTGGCAGCTGGTACACAATATGTTAGACATGTTAGCTCACAGAGACTAAAAGCTTCTAGCTTTACATATATTATATATATTTTTAATATGATCTAGTGTAATTAGTATTTGCTTACCAGCTAGCCGTCTGCAGGAAATCCCTGAAGAACTCCTGGTGACCAGGAAAGGATGGTGGCGGGCAGGGCCCGACGACTCCCTGAGGCTGGATGAGACGCTCCTCAAGACGCTTCAGACGCCCGAGGCTGTCGGCTCCCAGCATGCCGAGCAGGTCCGCATCAGGAGTATCCCCGGGGGAGCTGTTCACACGGGGGCCTTTACACGTCTACAAAACACAGAAATGGATTTAGTGTACCAACTGTGTGCAAGGTGCCACTATTCTGTTTAAAGGAGAAAGATGAAAGCCCATTTGACAGAATACAAAGTATTTGTTAAGATCTATAGTTTCGGTGAGAATGAGGTGCCAGTCTACCTGAACAAGCTGCTTCAGGAACAGACGAGCAAAATGGGAATGGTTTCCTGCAGATGTCAGCTGACTCATCATTCCTCTAAAAGAAAAGAAAAAAAAAAAAGCAACAAAATATAAAAATAGATCAGATAGAAACTATTTGTTAACATTTAAATAACACCTGCTCCACGAGCTACAGAAAGACTGAAAGTCAACTGGACTTGCCTTATCCTGCTGCCGAGAGCAGCGTCAAAGTTCCACCTCTGCTCTTTGTGAAAGTCCTCCCATTCTCGTAACACCTCGTAAAAAATGTCTCTGAGAAAAGAGCAAAAACAACAAATACATTAAGTCTAACTCAGGAGTTTCTTGTAGTGCGGCGCCTGTAGCCCGGTTCTAATAATGAAATATTTCATTACAAATACATTGTGGTATACCTCTGTTTTTTAAAGGTGTGGAAGGCCTTGTCACTACCGAAGTTGGACCGGTTGTCAGTAGCAGGCTGGAACGGGACAGAGTGGATGAAAGTGGAGACTGAAGGAGAGAGCTGGAACACACGGAGGAACAAAAACGCATCAAATAAAGAGGAAGTGGTTTCCTAAAAACAGATTGTGTTAGTAGTCACTGTATTCTTTTTTTTGTAGAGCCCACTAAAACGTCTTGTTTTGTCCTGGCAAAACCAAAACATATTCAACTTAATATAATGTAGCTCAAGGAAATATTGCCATTTATCCCTTTTGAGAAGCTGATATTTTGTATCTTTGCTTGAAAAACAACTCAAAAGATTAATAAACTATCAAAATAGCTGCAGATTAATGTAATGCCGATCAACTAATCAGTGAATCGACCAGCTTTAAACACTATAATCTAATAAAGATAGAAATAAATCTGAAAACAGGTGGCGTCCTTAAAAAAAAATGCATGAAGTATTTGTACTAATATGTTATCATATTCAGTAACACTCGGCCACTAATAAGCATTTATGGCAGTACAACAGAGTACGAGTGTGTTACCTTGGATGTGCTCCCCTCCTGGGCCTGAGTCAGACGGCCCCTGAGAGCCGGAGAGAAAGACGCCACCCGCTCGTTCTCCGCCAGTAGACGCAAGGTACACTTGTCCAAATGAGCTACCAACCTGCCAAAGAATACGCATTTAGGGATCAACTCAGGGAGACCGGATGAGCGGTATCACTTAAGTAGGGAGCAATGTGCTTATAAATCCCTGCTAGTGAAATTGTGTGGTATAAAACAACTCACTGAAACTGATTCTCCAGAACCTTCACTGCAAAATACACACAGTTGTGTACTTGTCTCAGGTAACATCTCTCCAGAATTTCTGAAAATGTGTAAAAAAAAAAAATTTAAAAAAAAAGGGGCTCAATATCCATTTGAATTCAAACAAAAAGTTGAACAATCCTAATATTTTGATGTTATATCAGACTAAAGTAAACAAGCATACTGACTACACACCTGAATTCACTGCACACAAACTCTCCTGTTCATCGTCATCATGAGTGTGAAAGGATTGAGAAGTTAGCAACTGCACCACAAAGAAAAGCTCCAGGAAAATGTTTGGCACAAGGTTTTCTGTAAGACAGGACAACACAAACAAGAAAGTGTTCTATATAAAATTACATTTAATTTAAACAGTTTCCCTCCAAGTAGCACATTACCACCACCTTGTGGTCACTAACCAGAAATGCAGGTACAGTACAGCTCTGCTAGGAGATCCAGTTCCACAGAGAAGGTGACTTTGGATGGTTCAGGACAGGGTGCCTGCAGCTCTGGTGTAACTTTAGACCCCGTCCTCAGCCCTAACTTGGTGGGGGTGCACGGGTCCAGAGACGAGAGCAGAGGAGAGCCAACCTGCTGAGCTCGCTTTGTCCTAAAAGACAAGAAATCTCTGATTATGAAGCGACAGAGGTAAAATAAAGTTAACATGTAGTGGAGCCAAAAACAGCAGAGGCCATCGTTAATAATGATGGGAAAATAAAGAAAGTATATATTGGGACGTATATGCAGAAAACTGTAAAAGAATACCAGCATCATAATGAGTGTATAGACTAGAAAGTCTAGTCCAATCGTCAAATAATGTCCACTTTCATGTCAGATTAATCCTGCATGTGCACTCACTTTTCTCTCTTTAGCAGCTCCCTCTCCTCCTGCAGGCTCAGAGGACTGCCCACTGTCATCGACCCCTCGAGCGCCTCCACGGCTAACGAGGGACTAGAAGACTCACTGAACGGGGTGGAGGTGAAGCACGTCTTTGGTTTGGAGTGAGGCCGTTCTGCACCGACTGCCGTTGGGTTTATTCTTCTAGATGGTTTGGATGCCCTGAAGGATAATAGAAACCATTAAGACAAACCTAAAAAAAAAAAATCAATGATGGAGTCGGTGTTGACTTGAGTTGTTTGGACTTACGCGGGTGAAATGGGTGAAGACCCAACAGGAGGGAAGTCCTCCAAGTTGTTGAAGTTGAGCTGCCCCACAGATGGAGGTGAAGCCTGCTCGCTTATCCTACTGTTCCCTCCTCCTCCTCCACCTCCTCTACCTGACCTTCTTCCCCCGCTTTCCCATCGCCCAGTCTCATCACTGTGATGTCCTCCCCGCCACCCTCCATGTTTCCCTTGTCCCCCCGCTGCCATGTTGCCACCACCTCTCCTGCGACCCTTCTGGGACTGGAAGCTGGGGCTTTTCTGGAGGTCAGGAGGAGAAACCATGTAGTCCCCCAGACTGATCCTCTGGCCCGACCGGCGTTCGGAGCCTGAAGGCCTGGAGGCGGGGCTCCATCCTGTAGCAAAGGAGGAGGGGCTGCTGAAGGCGTTGACCCCACTCAGAGAGTGGGACCCTGACTCACCGGCAGCATCCCACTCGGACCCAGGTGACACTGAGGCGGATGGAGAAAACAGCTGGACCCGGCTGGCACTCCGAGAACCATCTCCACCACCACCACCAGCGGACCTGCAGCCCCTCCTGTCAGTGGCACACTGAGTCTGTGCACCAGGTCTGGGGCGGCTGGGGGTCTTGGCAGGCGTGGCGGGGCCATGAGTTAGTGCTCGACTGCTCTGCTCTCTCAGGAAGTTCAGAAGAAATGGGACAAACTCTTGTTTGTGAACTGTCACCTCAGGTTCTCTCAATGCCAGCCGTTCGCCTTCCTGTTGAAAAGAGACATACGTGTTGAGAAAACAATGAACTGAGACAGATATATAATTCATAAATCTAAAATAACTGACATGATCGACACTATCTAGTGCGTGATGAACCCAAAGTAGAGAATAACGAGGTCAGTACACGTTTTGCTGCTCAGCTCCAGGACATTGTTGCAGAAAGTAGCCTGTTGACCCAACATTAGCTAACAATGCATGGACTAACATCCGCTAAACTGCGCAGCCCTCTTCAGGTAGTAATAATAATTACAACAGGAGCAAACGGCTGGGGTAAACGATGTTTTAATAGTACATTTTCTGGAAAGATAGTTGACAACGTAACGGTCTCGTCTGCAGTCCATCCTAGTCAAGGCTACAGCTAACCTAGCTCGATAGGCTAAAAGTTTTGTTTACAATCACTTGTTAGCTGTGTCATCTCTTAAAACACAGCATATAAGGGCGCGCGCGCATAAGATGTCTCAGTCACGTGGCTCGTAATCATTTCGGACAATACCTTGTCATTCTTTAGCCAGTCCAAGACCGTTGTAACGTCCACTTTCTTCCACAGAAGAGATTCCAAAAGAGCCGCCATTCTGCGCGACTGAAGGACTGATGGGGAGGGGGGCGGGGTTAGCGCGTACGCATGCGCGTAATGCGTATGACGTATGCCAACCACGTGTTTCAGCTAACGGGAGCTGATTGGTTCGTTAGGCTCGTTTGAGACGAGCCAGTGTCACGTGGTCTTTTTTGTTATAAAATGGGTATCTCCATCGCTGGTTGAAACATTATATTAATGTGCTGAAACTCAGACAGCCTGAAGACAGCGGCGTGTATTACTGTGCAGCTAGTAGACACAGTGACTCAAAGTCGCTCTTGCTTCTACAAAAACCCGCTCTGATAATCAGCCACATAAAGTCACACTGAAGAAGAACGCACCTGCATCTAACTGCAGCCTGTGGCAGGAAATCAACACAGATATCATCAGGATATATATGTGAAGAGACACAGCAGGATACTGTTCAAATACACTGATGAAGACTCCTCCTCCTCCTCCTTTACATCCAGGCAGCTCTGTTCAGTTTGCAGTCATCATAGTTTTGTTTTCATCTGCATTAGGATCATGATTAGACTTTTCGTACATTTAGCAGCTCTGCCGTTCTGTTTGACAGGTAATATCACATTAACTCAAAGAAATTGACCTAAATATTTCCACGTTTATTCTTTAAGCTCATAAAGTGTATTTTCCTCACTAAAGCTGTATGTTTGAAATGTGTCTTGCAGAACTCTCAAAGAACAGTGTTCATCAGAGTCCCGGTGCTCTGATCAAACATCCTGGAGAAGAAGTCCAGATGAAGTGCAGCCATTCAAACACTGCTTTTGATTTGATCCAGTGGTACAAACAGTCTGCTGGGGGAAATGACATGGTGCTAGTCGGCTATGTACGATTCACTTCTGCAGTCGTTGAAGCTCAATTCAAAGACACTTACAATGTGAGCGGTAATGGGGGAAGTCTGGCATATCTTGATATTCCAAAGTTGAGTCGCTCAGAGGACGGAGCAGTGTATTTCTGTGCTGCCAGTGGAGCACAGTGCTGCACGAACCCTGTGTCTTTGACAAAAACCCTCTCTGATGCAATGACACAAATTACAAGATGAACGACAAGTAAACCGCATTGTGAATGACTTTTGCAGAGAAAGAATTACAAAAGAAATGTGATCATGTAAAGTTAGTATCCTGGTATGTGAAGTAATAATAATGGTTATATATGAGTGTATATGTTTAATAGGTGCACATTAGGCTATGACCGCAGATGTGATCTACAAGGGTTAAAAAATACATTTTCCATTTCATCTCGACTTCTTGAGTATTTTCTCATTTTATTAGGAACTTCAGTGCAAAATGAACATAACCGTTAAACCGTTAAAATAAAAGAGAAAAATGTAATAAACATGTAATAAACATTCCATCTAAACACAAACTAACAGAGTGATCAGATTAAAACAATAGTTTGATATAACAATGCAATGAGATATTGCTGCATGATTGAGCTTTTTAATATCTTTTACACTTTTTGAACTGCAGCAATTTAACTTTTATGATTTTTTCAGTCCTTTTCTGACTTTATAATGGGTGTGTATTGCAGAGCTTAGAGTGCGTGACGTCACCACTAGAGTGAAGAGCAGCTTGAGATTCTTGTGAAAAAAAGATTTGTCTTTTGCCACTGACTCCACAAATTTCACTCTTCATGCATAATTTTTGGATGTAAAAGTAGCTAATCTTGTCCTTGTCGTAGACAAATGACTGTAGAATCCCACAGATTTACACATTTGGCACAAAAGATTTTAATTGAGAGGAAACCCAACTTTCTGCTCCATAGAGACCAATGTTAAATTTTACTTCAAGAACATCTTCCACAGAACTTGGCACCCCATTTCTAGATTGCCAGTTAAGCCACATTTTTTTACAGACACAGCTGTTCATGATTGAGCTAATTAGTGAAGCTGACAAACACACAGACTCACAGACTCTCCAACTGGTGCGTCCTCACCATGGCAACCAACTACACGCACGCACGCTCTGTCTGTCTCTCTACACACACACACACAAGACTTGGAGGCATTGTTAGACCTCATGTCTGTCTGTCTGTCTCACTTAGTACATAAAACTGTCTGTCTGTCTGTCTGTCCGACTCCCTCAGTTCATAAATATGTCTGTCTGTCTGTCTGTCTCTGTTACGTGTTGTGTTTGTGCTTTCCCTCTGTTTCCTCAGTGTCTTCTCGGGTTCCACCCTCTGTCCCGGATGCCAGCTGCAGTGGCTGATTGGACACGGCTGCGTTCAATCGCAATTAGCTGTGGCTGGTGGCTAAAAGGAGAGGATCTCCTGAAGGACAATCTCTCTCTTGGGGCAGACCACAGTAGTGAGGCTGTGTGTGTGAGCTGACAACACTTGGGTGTAGTGGTGGAGCTGCGTGTGTGCTGCACCTTTGTTCCAGCCGTGTGGGCTGTTGTTGTATGTATAGTGTCGCTTTCTTGCTATAAGAAAGTAGTTTTATTTTGCTGCCGTGCAAGCAGCTAACCCTTTTATAATGAATACTCTTTTGTTAAACCGTCATCATTGCTCAGTCTCTTTCCCCGGGAAAATAACACCGTTACTCCCCGAATCCCTTAGATGCCAAAAAGGGGAACGTAACAGACTCACTTAGTACATACATACATCTGTCTGTCTGTCTGCCTGACTCACTCAGTACATAAATCTGTCTGTCTGTCTGATTCACTCAGTACATAAAACTGTCTGTCTGACTCACTCAGTACATAAATCTGTCTGTCTGCCTGACTCACTCAGTACATAAAACTGTCTGCCTGACTCACTCAGTACATACGTCTGTCTGTCTGTCTGATTCACTCAGTACATAAAACTGTCTGACTCACTCAGTAAATACATACGTCTGTCTGTCTGACTCACTCAGTTCATAAAACCATCTGCCTGACTCACTCAGTACATATGTCTGTCTGTCTGTCTGTCTGTCTGACTCACTCACATAAAACGAGACAAGAACTTGCGGATGCAGCTGTCTTTGACAGACGCTTTGTGCTTTAGCTCAACAATGCAGTTCAACGCGTTAGCTCCAAGGAGTGCCATCCCACGATTTACCTGTACAATCATTGGCAGATTAACGTGGGGAATAGCCAGTGAAGGCATTTGTAATTGTATTTGTACCCATCCAATCAAATTCAGCTCCTTGCCGTCAGCTGCTTGCAATTTGAATTCTTCTCCGAACAAATCCACCAGAGGTTGAATCTCGTTGGGCATATGTGTTTCAACCCATTGAGAACCGATCAAGGAATATCCCGCTCCTGAATCAAATTTTGCTACCGTTTCAATGTCATTCATCCGACATCGAATTACATATCTTTTCTCAATGTTGCTGGGGGTGAGGCGGGTGAACAATTCCCTTATATTTCTCTGTCTGTCCTTGTAAGCCAGTTCATCGATGAAGTTGGTCCCAATTAGAGGTGTTTTCATCACGAAATCCACATCTTTCAAGACCTGTATTTTTAATTGATGTTTTTTTGGGCAGCACATTCCAGCAAATTTAAAGCACTCTGTGATTTCGCCTACAGACTGAACCATATGTCCATTGTCCATATGCCCCTTGTTCCACTTTTGTTTGTTTCAAACAAAAGGCCTCTTATTTATTCATTACTTCTTGTTTCTTGATAAATTAAAACATTTTGATAAAGGTACGGCATTACAGTCTTATCAAGGGGAATTTTGGCCTTTCATTTTCACTACATACGGTGTTTATTTCAGTCATAGCAGCAGTATTTTATTGACTACAATAGTTAGTTGTACTTTACTGACTTTGACCAGTCAAACTCCTACAATCTCTGCTGGAAATATATGTTAAAGATACTTAATCACAGTTGTACATTTTGTTCCAGGTATCATATGGACTGCTTGACTCCGTCACTAAACACTGGCCCAGAAGGTGACTGGATTTGTGCTGAGTGTGCGGTCACTCCCCAGCATACAGGTAAAGCTTAACTAAGTAGGTATCTGGCACCTTAAATACACACATAATTCTGTTATTTTGCAAATGAATTGATTAAGGAAAATATAGCTGCCTCCTCCTTTAAAGGACCACACTGGTGTTTTTGTATCGTTAGCCCATTTAATTACTGCCAAACATTTTCCAAAGCAATAATAGTACCTGATGAATGTGTCTTCCAGGCAGGCATCTCTTTATGATCATAAAGTATGGCAGTTAATGTTAATAAAGTTGATTTTCATACCACACTGGCATGAATCTCGTAGCTGCCTGCCTGAATAGATTCAGGGATAAAATAAAGGAACATGTCTAAATTGTCTAAACACATTATGTGAATGTGTCCCTGCACAGATGGCTCCATGGTGGAGGGTGAGATCAGTGATGGAGAACTGACCTTTTCTTTAGTAAACAGTTAGGGCTTTGTTCTGAAGGTATTCCTCAGAGACTCTTCTGTAGACTTTGCTGTATGATAAAAGATTCTCAAGTTCCGACTTTTTTATCCTATACAGGTAGCCGGAAACGATATATATCTGCTAGGAAATATAAACCGGTTATTGTCATATGTAAATATAAAATAATAGAGAGTAACATTGTTTGCATTAAACAGAAAACAGAGTCACACCTGGGGAAACAGATTTAATATTTTATCCAGATAGGTATCAAGATGTGTGAAATACAGAAAATGACGAACTTAAAAATGTAACGTATGCCATTAACTTTCCCCATGTGCAATATTCACTTAGGTAACCTCAAGTAACTAGGGCAAAGGAAAATTCCTCATGCCGTTATCAGATCCCCTCACTGTAGGGCACCGCTGTGGCATTGAACCACATTTCTTTCACATGTGCTGTTAGCAGTAATGCAGAAATCAACCAACTGACACATGTGCATCGTCTCTTGCTGCTGGAGTTTGTGGTTACTGTCTGAAACAAGCTTCTCTGTCCACTTGGGTTCATCTGTGTGGGTTGCTGCGTCTGCTCGTGTACAGTAGACAACATTGATTTATTGTAACTGCTGATAAGGATCAAAAGGCCACATAACCTTTGCTTCCCCTCACCACGGAGAGTCTCGTATCATCTTCCTCCATCAAGTACTTTTTTAAGGTGGTAGAGTGCTGTCTTCAGGTGGCTGTAAGTGGCTAAATATTCTTCTAGTAGAGACAGCACTTTGTTTACTCACTCAAGGACATCCGTGTTAATGTTTTTCCTCTCCTAACAAAGACTGGAATGGTTTGATCTGATACGCTGAGTCAATAGGGCAATAAGGATCTTATCAGCCAGATACGAGTCTTTTTCAGTGTCGCAATGAAATTCAGTGTTTCTGAATTTCCATTCCTTTTGCAGCTTATAAAACATACACAATAAAAAGACAGTTTAAGACATTAAAAGTGCTACGCTATACAACCAATATATACAAAAGTAGATAAAAGGAAAGAAAAAGTGCAGTACATGATGCATTATTATAATTTGATTGCACAACAAGTTGCACCTCATTTTCAGTAACCTTAAATATGTAGTACGTTCTAAAACAAAATTCAGTTGATGTTGCTTTGTACGTTTTGCTTTTGACCTGTAAAAGACAACCTACCATAACATTGGTGTTAAGAGTCTGTAAATTATTTTTTATTCAACATCATCTGTTTTGTGTGTTTCACAGAGTTAAAGACAAGAAGGAAGCGATCTACTTGAGCTCCTGACACCAAGAGAGTTGTTTATGTGTGTATCATCACTTCCTGATAAAGGCGCTCCTGTCATACATTACCACATGGTGGCAGCAGTGTGTTATAGACATGAACCTGACCAGAGGAAGAAGTTGTTTATTTCAGTAATAGTTTTATCTTAAGTTGAATGTTTTTGTTTTACTTTTGTTAAAAGATAAGCCTGACATTATTCAAAACTTTTCTTACTGTCAATAAATCCAATGAAAATACCATTTTCCACCTCTCAATACTGTATAACTAGCCGACCCTGTCTGTAGCATTCAG